TCAAGGACTTTCGAACCGTGTATCTTAGTTCGACTACAAAGTTGTGCAGTGTCTTACGGCACAACTTGAAATCACCAATCAAACCATCATTCGTGATATTATGCTACCCATTATATTACCACTATGTATATATATATACAATATATATATACAATGATATACATAAATCAGATATCATCATTGGTTCTCTTCGCATTTTATATGTTTAAATCCAACAATATCCCAACGACATAAAACCAAATAAAGATAAATAAACCATGAGCATCTGAACTTCATCATTCCGAGGTGCAACCGTCCACTGATCGTCTCGGAGTCCTCAAAGTCCTCAGGTGGTTTCGTTTCATCACCGGAAAAGTCAGGATTCATAGGACTTACCATCTGGTTGTGACTAACATAGCCATGGAAAATGGCCCATTTATAGATGGTTTACCTATTAAAAATGGTGATTTTCCATGGCGAACTGTTAAATCACCAGAGGGTAATCACCCCATAAGGGTCGAAACTCCTGGTGAAACCCCAAAGAAATGGGAATTCACCAGCAAAACTGGAGGCTTCACCTGCAAAAGTCTTGCAAAATCCGAAGATTTCAACCACAAAAGTTTGGAGAAATATGGAGAAATATGGAGAAATACTATAAATCAAAATTGACAGATTGGTACTATTTAAAACTATTTAAGACTATTCCGTCATGGGATAAAGTGATATAAACTGAGGATTTCATGCAGCAAACAAATTCTTTGGCTGGGGATGATGTATTCCTCCTTTTATGGCTGCAAAATAACTAAGCTATGAACCTATCGAATCAATGAACTAAAATGGGATCAAAAGGCCACCATTTGAAGGGAGACTTACTAGCCAACCATCGAGGTACACGAGGGGATAAACGCCTACCGCTTCAGAATCATCTAAATTCTTTATGGATGCAAAATCATGAGGTGCAGGTTGTGTCTCCGACCCATGTACAAACTGGGTACAGTAGAAAACATCATGCATCCACATCAACACATGCAAGCGCCACCTAATCAATATCCGTAGTGAATTTTCCAGGCCTCAACTCTTGACCTGTACCTTCTATAGTTCATGGATTATGATCATCCCCAATAATTATATTGGATAGTATAACCCCCTATACTCATCAACCAGCAGGGGTTTTGAACACTGTTCATCTTCTTCAGAACCTCTAAGGAGGAAGCGTTTCATTCTTTCAGATAAGGACTGCGCACAAATAATAAATGGTGATTTCAGCCCCCCTGCAAAATATGAATTAGTGGGATATCATGGGATATGTGATTCAATGGGATATAAAAATGGGATATGAATAAATAAACACCATATGTGTATATATATATATGCGCCGACGGTTGGCACCCTTCCATGACATACTTCTGCTTAAGAACAAGATTCCCGGTTCATGGATGATGAACATTTCCCCAATACAATACAAAGGATAGGCTCAGAATGACAGAACTAATCATCAACCAACCATCATTTATCAATTATATGTCATATTTCTGGATTATCAGTATCCCCCCCTGTTGAAATGAATGATGGTAAATCAACCCCCATTTTCATCATGGTCACAATCATCAACCATAAGACAACCATCATTTATCAACTGTATTTCCATAGTTTAATGACTGAAACCCTACAAAAATGATAGATCTGATGGTTAGATCCCATTAAAACTCAGTATACCCCATTAAAATTCCATGAAACTGATGGTATTTCCCATTAAAATGGTTAGATCCCATTAAAAATCCATTTACCCTCTGGTGATTTAACAGTTCGCCATGGAAAATCACCATGCTATTAATAGGTAAACCGTCTATAAATGGGCCATCTATACCATGGCTATGTTAGTCATAACCAGAGGGTAGGTCTCAGTATATCCCATTCTATCATAGTATATCTGATCTAATATCCCCACTTTAATGGATATATCATGGTATACTGGATCTGATATATCTGATATCTGATGGTTAAAATTCCATTTTGATCTCAGTATATCCCATTCTATCCCCATGATACCATCATTTTTCTTAGGCGCCAGAGGCTTTGGCCGCGACTCATGGTACTGGGCGGATGGGATGACAATGGGGGGTTGAAGATCAAGACCGCAAAGTCATGAGAATTACCCTCTGGCTATTAAAAAAGTGACCATAGAAATAGTGGATTGTCCCATTTAAAATGATGATTTTCCGTTATGTTAGTTTACCAGAGGGTAGTGGGATTGAACACTGGTTGGTGATTTGAACCCCTCTGAAAAATATGACTTCGTCAAATGGGATGATGATATATTCCCAATATATGGAAAGTCATAAAATTAATGTTCCAAACCACCAACTAGAACATGACTCAACAATCAAACATGGATCAAACACCATCAAATGTCACAAAGTTGACCGGCAAGAATGGTGATAGAACTGAGGAAGAAACGTTTGTGGAGTCTTTACCCAACGCAAGGGAGAGCCTTCATGAAACACCGGTCTTGCATGGCCTTGGTTCCAATTTACCTTTATGATATCCATGTACTCTAATTTTAGGTATATGTACACATATGTATATAATAAACATAAACATACGTATGTATTCATTGCTTCTAAGTTATAAGTGTGGCGGACAAAATTACCTGTTGGTCGGAATGCCACACGCATGCATCGTCCCAGTGTATTGGATGGTGGGTCCAAGAAGGAGCCACTGAAAAGTGATGAGCCGGGAAGTGACATCATTCGTGACAAAACTACCAACATCAATAACAAGGGAACAACCTACTCTATATGTATTTAAAAAAAAACATGGTAGCTATGAAAGCGGAAGTGGAAATCACCCAGTAGGAACATGATCTTCAAGGCAGGACTTGCTTGGTTGCCGCATTATTAGGGAACATCATGTGTTTGCTCTGGTTCAGCTTTTGAAACCACCCTCCGGGAATATACCCCCGCTACTGAAATACGTTCGCCTTGCGTTCCCATGAAACACAATTCACATGAAAACAGTTGATTTCTCTGCAGTTATGACCATTTTGAGCGGGAAAGTCATGATTCATGATCAACCTATCCACCATCCAACATGTCGACGGTTTTCCCATCATTTTCCGACCATTTTCCCACCATGTTCTCCGCCCTGGGCCCCAGCAATTCCCACGCTGCAAAATGTCTCTGTCCTGAGGCTCCTCGGCAATCTGCACTTTGCTGCCGAAGCGACTCATCGCGCCATGGCAATCGGGATCGACAGGGCTGGCCGATGATGGGAAACACTCCCCAATTTTCATGGTCTATGTTTAAAAATATGGCTATATCTGCCGAAACTCCGAAAAAATCGATGGTTCAGCAGCCCCTTGGGCCAAATCAACTAGACTAGTGCTTCAGTGGACCAGAAATCAAGGCGTAAGCCAGCCATTTGCGCATGTGGAGTGAACGACTGGCCAGGACCATTTTTTGAAGGACGGGAACGTTGAGCCGCGAAGGCCTTCCTTGAAGAGCCCACTTGAAATGTCCGCAGTGTACTTTATGCATGCTTCAGAAAGATTCTAATTGTCAGGGTCAGGGTAGTTCAAATCCCCAAGAGACATATGAGCTGTTTTTGCCTCTGCTCGATTGTCTTCCCAGTTCTCTCCATCCCATCACCAGGGGCAAGACCCGAAACCCGGTCCCCTGTGTATCGAACATGCATCGATTATTCAACGGTTTTTCAATCAGAAACATAGTTTGATTAGAGTTTATATAACATAGTTTAGCTATTATATAAAATATCTACGTCTTCAATAATCATGATAATAATTATAATAGCTATTCTTATACATGTATATAATTACATACTATGACTATGAGTATGATTACATAATAATTAGCCCGTTATCATCACTATATCATTATTATATAGATTACAGTATATAGAATTCAACAGTTCGCTGTTTCCATTGTAAACGCAGCAGCCGTAGCAGCGATGCCAAGCAGCGAAATTGGAAGTCCCAAATTTAGTCATCAGAATGCTGGAATAATGGACATTAATTATTGGGATAATATGTCAAATCCATTTTGCGAGGCTTCAATTATTATCATTATTACCATTATCATCATTATTATCATTATGATTATGTTTCAATTATTTAATCTGGTTGGTGGTTTCAACCCCTCTGAAAAATATGAAAGTCAGTTGGGATGATTATATATTCCCAATATATGGAAAGTCATAAAATTCATGTTCCAAACCACCAACCAGTAATTGGGATAATGTGTTGATTGGGGCATTGTCATCTAATTATTGTTGCCCCAGCCTCTGCGTCTGAGCTATTTTTTGGCCAAAATTCCACTTCTGCTACCCAGCAATCATGGCCATGGCAATGGAAACTCCACCATGTATAGATGAAGGACCTATGAAAAATATTAAAAAATGGTGATTGTCCATAGCAAACTCTTAGTTTACCAGAGGGTAACCCACCATTCATCACCATTTATAGATGATTTACCGTTTCCAAAGATTCCAGCATGGGAATTGCTGGGGAAAAAAGGGCCGGACATTTTGATGGACATTTTGATCAGCCATCACCTGAATTTTCTCCAACTGTCTCTCTATAAAAAGCACCATCCCCAATCAACCAGTTGCCGGCAAGAATCAAATCATGATACACCCAATTATAGCATATATATGCATATATATAATTATGCATATATATATTTATTATGGTCAGCGTCCCCTGGATTTTCCATTTCTTGATTCAAGGCTTTTTTATTGGGCGAATCAATGCGCATTAGATTGTTCACAAATGTTCACAATATACTCCCGTTCACCAATAATTTATTCCTTAACAATTATAAATCAACTGGTTGGTGGTTTCAACCCCTCTGAAAAATATTAGTCAATGGGAAGGATTATCCCATATATTATGGAAAACAAAAAATGTTTGAAACCACCAACCAGTCAATATAAATCCCCATATTTGGTTCATCCATACCAATACCATGACCCCTAGTCTCCCCATTCAGCCCCAGGTCTTTTTTCGACCACGGATCGTGGTAGATTCGCCAGGGCCACTAGAAATCCAAGTCGTCGGCCTCACGGAACGCCGCTACGGATGGTCTGGTGATCATGCGCTTGGGGTTGGAGGGTTGGAGTGGGGTGGGGCGTGTATCTTGGGCGTGTCACCATGTCATTAAAGGAAAAAAAAAATCTAGGGGTGGATATCTCATTGGAAGTCGCCTGGCCTGTGACACTGAGTTTTCAACAAGTTGGATAGGCTGTGGCACCACTGCAAAAAGTTTCAACAAGTTGGAAAAGCCACAGACCAAGACAAGGTCAAAGGGATTTGTAAATGTTGTGGAATCGGTGCTACCAATCTGCATTATATACAGTAGACACAACAAAATACGCTGAGTGAAATGTTTTCGGCGAAATTTAGGTTTCGAGGACACAAATCTGTTTTAAATACCAACAACCATACGAGTCCTGTCGGGGAGTGTTACCTTGTCTAATATGGGTATTGCTGTTGAATACGGCTGATTGTTCAGCAAGCATATTCTGAAATGGCTATGTTGATGTATATTTGTTGGGAATTTTTAGCAACATGGGTATTCAACATATTCCAGGGATCAAATATGGTTCATCATCCAGGAGAAGCGATTGGGCTGAAAGATTGGGGGACTATCCTTGGGTTTTCCACAACAGACAGATTAGATTATATAGATTACATTGAATTAGATTAAAGTAGACTAGATTAGATTTAGATTGGATTGGATAGATTAGATTGGATTGGATTGCATTGAATTGGGTTATATATATATATAAAGATAGAGAGATAGAGAGAGTGTGGTCCACAGATACCTATTGGATGGAAATTCTATAACATTCTATAACCATGGCTGGTCAGCCGCGAGCTGAAGGAGAATACATCACATCCAGTTGATCCTTAGCTGGATACCCTCTGGCAATTTAACATAGCCATGGAACATGCATTGACATTGCCCATCTATAAATGATTTACGTATCAAACATGGTGACTTTCCACAGCTATGTCAAATTACCAGTGTGTATAACATGTGATCTTCCATGAAAGTGGCTACGACTTAGCCGCTACTTCCCCTTTTCAGACTACCCCTTCAGTGTTTGCCCAACACATCTCTCCTTTGGTGCTCAAGTGTGTGTTACCTCGCGAAGTATGTTGGACAATACCCATCCATGGGGAAAATGATGATGAACCAAAATGAGACCCTGGAGAAACAGCACCGATGATAATACCATTGCACCCAAATTGCAAATATGATATGAATGCTATAATAGTGGTGTTTATTATGCTGTGCTATCCCATTGATATCCCACAGTCACTAGTTTAGTATGAATATCCCTTCATACTTGTGATAATACCAAATTTAACCATTACCAACCTGTGGATTTCTCTGAACATATGCCACCTCCACTGGTCACCATTTTCCTGCCATATTCAGCTCATACTGCTGGCGACAACCTCATTGTATCCCAAAGCTTGGTTCATTGGTAAACGATGAGGTTCTGCCAATCAACATAGCTATGGAAGTCCTGGCCAATTTATAGAATATCTACAGAAATGGTGATTTTCCATAGCCATATCATTTTTTACATCAAATTCCCCGGGCAAATCCACCCATATTCCAGCAAAACATCCCCAATATGTTGTTATATCCTAATATAATATATGGATTACATCATAATCCATTATATCTCTATTCTACCATCATTCTACCATTATGTCTTGGTGAAATCATCTTTACAGTCAAAATTCAGCAAAGTGGTGAGAAAAATGTTGGTCAAAATCCATGGTGAATTAATAGACATTCCATAGCCATCAAAATCCAACAAAACCTTTCAAAATCCATAGTTCACTAGATCAGCCACCATTTTCGATAGATAAATCAATAACTAGTTTCGGAGGAACATTTCTATAGCCATCAAAATCACAATTTTCATCGATAAATCACCATTTCAATAGATGATCACCTTGATATTTCGCCATCAAACTCCAAGTTTCATCAATGACCACGCGCCTTGTGAGGCGGTGCCTTGTCGCGACTTCGGCTGGCCTGGGAAGGTGACCAAAAACTGGGGATTTAAGCATCAATAATTGTCAATCATGGTGTTTTCACCAACAAACATGGTGATTTCACCAACAAAAATGGTGATTTCACCAACAAAAAATGGTGATTTCACCAACAAAAATGGTGATTTCACCAACAAAAATGGTGGATTTAAGTGTCACACATGTGGATTGACTTAAGTGACTCATGTGAATTCATGGTATTGAAGCATCATCCCCAGTCAGGATCTCACCTCCCGTCGCGCCCGGTAGGATGAAGCTCTAGGCCTCGGTTGGATGTTGATGCATAAAATGATGTAAGATGATATTAAGATGCTATAATATAATAGTCAATTTTGAATGTTAGATGGTATTATATTATGTTAATGGGATTCTGCCGGGATATGATTCAGCTTTGATTGGGTTTTATACGATTTTGTTGGGATGCATAATGATTTAAAGGGATTATGAACTGATCAAATGCGGCGAGACCAACTTGATCGTCGAATCAGGTGTTAAAGAAACAAATCTGATCTTGGTTGGTGGTTTGAACCCATGAAAATAGTGCTGAAACATCAAGATATCGGGTATGGATCAATACCTATGAAAATACCATTTTTAGTGGGTTATTCACATCCATAAATCCCAGCTATTTTGATGTGAACAAAAAAAGGGGTACTATTGGTTTTGACACACTGCCATATGAGATGATAGAGAATAAACTACAAGACTTTGAAGGTGACCCAGAATAGTGGGGTGTAAAACACCAAGAAACTCAAAGATTGGCCAATGATTGGCCAAGGATCTTCCGGTACTACGTCGAATTTTAACGGGAAAAACTAATAAATGGGACATTGTCCAGAAAATCATGTTTGATTGCCAGAGGGTATTCCAACCAAGGGAAAAACCCAGCGTACCACAATGGAGGGGTACCACCACGTCTTTGATCATCGCGCAGAGGGTCTGGCTCAAAATCCTGGTTTTCACAGCAATGGTTGGGCTGGTCTTTACGGATGTCCAACCCCCCGATTCAGGTGAAAAAAAACACAGTTCTTTGAGTTTGTCTGGAGATTCCGGAAACAACAACTCCAGTGTTTATGCATGTTTTTCCATGTTTTTCCATGTTGTTCCATGGTTTTTCCATGTTTTTCCCATGAGAAATGACAATTTTGTGGTCCTTTTGCCCCCATGACCTCAGCCCTTTCCACCAAGTGTCTCCACGGAGTCAGCGCCTCGGATGAAGCACTACTGACGTTAGGCAGCAAGCGAACATATCGCAGATGTTAAACGCGCAATATTCTGATGTTGCAATAAATAACAACCAATTGTGAGTATTGTTTATGATGTTGCAATATCATGATGATTCCAATACAACTAACGTAGTTGTGCTTTTTTTTTCTTGCCAGGCATTCAGTCGCAGACAATCGCAACTCATACGAATGCTTCGGCGCTTGGCATGATCTCATACTACCCTTTGTCTCGCTGCCCGTAAAATGTAGTTGTGTAATTAAGATAAATATAACTGATGATTAATAGTTGAACAACAACAACTACCAATAATAATAATAATAAACATAATAATATTTATAATTACGGACTCTACTAAAAACTAATGATGGGATAGTAAATAATACTTAAACAACTACAAATAATCATAATACTATATAACAATGACTAAGTGTGATTAAGTGGCATATTGGGCTAGAACTGAAAAGATATGATGATATGTGACAGGACCATTATTCATGGCATCCGGGCATACTATTGGAATAGGTAAGTACCTCCACAGGAGTCTGGAAGATGCTAAGGCCCTCATTTCACGGTGTACCCTTGACAAATGCCCTTGCAACTTACATATTTTGTTTGAGTGATTCCCACTGTTGCTGATCACATTCCCATGTTTGTAGCTGTATAAAAACTGTTGATATCTGTTGATAACAGTCATGCTGGTCAATAGATATCCTTTCCCTGATACAATCGTTCCAATGATCCTGGTCACGATGTCGGAAAAATCTTCGACCAGGATCGTTCAAACACACCTTTCAAGGTTAGTCAATGGCAAACTCCCAAGTCTCAAAATGGCAGTGTGTCAAAACCTTGTACCCCTGGTGAACATCAAAATAGCTGGTAAATGGATGTTCATCCCACTAAAAATGGTATTAATAGGTATTGATCCATACCCAAATAGGTAAACTAAACCAACCCCAAATTTGGGTACCAACTCCTATGGTTCTGGATCCAAACGGTCGTCGGAACATGGAAATGGCTGGCAATTCCCCCCAAAGATTGTCCCATTGCTACATATCCCCAAAAAACGAGCCCCTTGGTATTTTGGCTAGTATAACCCCCAACTAATCATCAACCAACTCTCAACCAACCATCATTTATCAACTGTATTTCAAAATAATTGTGGTGACATCCCATTAATGTGGTTAAAACAATAATCAACCACCCATTTGAAAATGGTAAACATACAACCTATTTGTGGTGAATTTGGGCATGGTATATGATTGTTTCACCAACATTCAATCCAATTTTCTTGTGAAGTCACCAATCTTAGCAGTGCAAATGAAAAAACGGTCAAACCCTCGTCACCCTCGGCCTGCAGCTTCTGGTGTTGGCGCAGCTGGCGCAGCTGGCGCAGCCGGCGCAGCTGCTGCCGGGGACCTGAGCCGCTTCAGCACTGGGCAACCCATTAATGAGGCAGTTTTAGATACCCGGCCTGGTAATGACTAACATAATGGTATTTTAGTGGGACATCATGGGATTTTATGGAATTTTAATGGGATTTAATGGGATATATGATGGTTACCCTCTGGTAATTTAACATAACTATGGAAAATCACAATTTTCAATGGGTAAATCCACTATAAATGGGCAATTTTCAATAGCTTTTTGTATGTTTACCAGAGGGTAGGATATGCGGCAAAATAATGGAACATCCAATTTTCTATGGGAATATCATGGGAGCAATGATACTGTAAGTCACTGCCACCAAGGTTTGTGTGTTTTTGGTTGCAACCAAGTTGAGACATACTCAGAGCATCTTAAATGTTCTTCTGTTGAAATTATAACATTCTGTGTGTACATATATATATATATAATTTGGATCTGCGATTTATGGCCAGTTCAGTTAGGGGAGTTTTTTACGGGTTTCAGTTCTGTCGGCTTGACTTAGGCCCCATTTTTGGATAAACCCCAACAAGGAGTATAACAGTCATAAAACCACAAAATGTGTGATCAAAAAAAAAACAGTTCACCCTATTGCGTTTCACACATCTCTCTTAGCGAAGTGCAAAGTTTATCACCATTGAATTAATCTGGTTGGTGGTTGACCTACCTACCCATCTGAAAAATATGAAAGTCAGATTGGATCATCATCCCAACTATTGGGGAAAATAAAAAATGTTCCAAACCACCAATCAGTGATGATATTCATGGACCCTACACCAACCCCAAAGCTTGGTGCATCCCACAAGTGTGATCCATGGCCATGATCGGAAAAGCCTCCCAGTTCTATGATGAAAAATGATGTTTGTTTAAATGTGGTATCACATGGTATTAACATGTATTAACGAAATTATAGTCCTTTACAACACCAAAGATAGGGAGGAACTTGGGCAAGTAGCAAACTTGTATGATATAATCTAAACAATTACACATACATAGCGGTTTTATCTCCATAAAAAACACAATCCTATTCAACTACCTATTACCTGTTATGATTAACCTGTTATGATTGTAAGATTGTCCACCTTACAATGAGCGTTCGCCGAATTGAAATGATTCGCCAAGCTGAACTTTTTGGTCGTTTTTTTTGTGGCTTCAATCGAGCGTGGATAAATCTCCATTGTTGTTCCTTCCGGACCGCTGTCGGCGCGCACGGGGGACAGCGTAAAAATGCTTGTCAGGGCGTGTTTATGTTCATTTCGCTCACTGTAGCCAGTGTTTCGTGATGTTTCGTGATGGTACGTTGAAGTTGTGCCCGTCAGTTGGAAGTTGTGCCCGTCAGTTAGAAGTTGTGCCCGTCAGTTAGAAGTTGTGCCCGTCAGTTAGAAGTTGTGCCCGCATGACATGTTATTATTTTTGGGGTGGGGGGGGGGCACACTCACACACGCGTGATGTTACGCAGTAAGATCTTCTCCGGCATATGCACACACGCGTGATGTTACGTAGTAACATCTTCTCTGGCACTTGCACACACGCGTGATGTTACGCATGTCGGCGCGCACCCACAAAGGACCGAAACGTTGTTGTTGGATCAATCTCCATTTTTGTTGGTTAAATCACCCTATAGCCTATAACCTATAACCTATCTCCCGAACCACATATCTTACGCCCCCCAGAGATCCCCATGACATTCCCATTGTAACCACATGCTATCCCCACTATATACCTATTCTCACCCAGATCATAACCATGGCATAACAGTTCCCACCTAGATCCCACATAACCACTACAACCACTATAACCACATTTGTATCCCCATTTATCCCCATTTGTCCCCATACTATCACCATTCTATCTCATTATAGCCATCATAATCACTATTATATCCCCAACAAACCACCCAAATTTCTAGCTAAGAGATGAATTCCAACCAAACTGTCCAACTAAATAGTGACAGTGGTTTTAACCACTATAGAACCCCATTGAATCACCATTTCCCAAAGGGCTCCCGACTCAGCCGCGGCGCTCGACGCTGGCTCCTTTCGGCTGCTGCGGCGGGCCTGGGGCGACAGAACAGTCATCACCCGCTGGGCTGGTGGGCTGGTGCTAGAAACAGGTGAATCACTGGGTTATAATCAATAGCTCAGTAGTAGTTCAATTAATAATATATAATCACTGGTTAACTACTATAATCAATAACTGGGCTATAATAATAGTTCAGTTATGGTAGTTAACAATAGCTAATATAATTAGTTAACAATTGGAATACAATTGGATAATAATGGTTAATATTTGGATAGAATCAAAATAGCGTCAGTATTTAACAATAGCTAACAATAACTCGTGATAATTGGGTTAATTATATGATAATAAATAGTTAACAATAGTTAATTAGTGTTATTTATAGTTATCCCATCGCTATAATAATAGTTAATAATTGGATATTGATATAATTGGGTTATAATTGCTGGTTAACAATAGTTAATATAACATAATATAACTATAACCCAATTATTAACATGTATTCTAATCTGATTATAGCTAGTAACAAGATGTAACAAGTATTATATCTAGTGGAATTTACCCATAAGACCACTAACCAGTAAATTTATCGGCTCGTAGCAGTTGGTTGAGCAGGGTATTCTCGATTCCGCCCACTGGTGAATCATCATTTCCATATGTCCTTAATGGTCCATGTTCATGGTGGTTCATGCCCCATCTTCAGGCACACACACACAACAAAAAAAAAACATCCACAGATACATAGCCAGCTACAGGGGCCCGACAATGTCATGCCTAAGTCACTCCTTTTGCTTTCCCCGCTTGTGAACGCATCATCAAGAAGTCACGCCTAAGTCATGCCTTTTGGTCTTCCCATATTCTGAACTCAAGCGTCAAAAAAAACCTGTCCAAATCGGAACCTTTCATTTCTGCTGTTTCTTTTCCTCCCTGCCCCCCTCGATCATACCCAATGGTTGGTTCCGAAAAAAAAGGCATCGAGCATCGCTATCCTAAGTGCCCCGGCTCCTGGTGAGGCTCCCGGTTTGGCTTTTGCAGCTTCACCTGAAAAATGGGAACCTGTCTCTCAGAGACGCATATGGCTGGTTTGTTATCATTTTCCCAACTTCAATGGCCGGTATTTTAAGACAAACCCAGATATGTAACAATAAGTATATTAATGTATATACTGTGGCCGTAGTATATCATATGTATACTGTACAGTATGGTTTACTATATTCAATTGTGGGTCCCTGGGTCTCTATTCTTGCTCCATTCATTTTGTTTGAAACGATGAGAACCAAAAACACTGGAAACTATTGCCCACACAAACTGTTGTTATTGGGAGAAAAACAACGCAAAAAAAAATGCGCTACCACTGCCACTTCTAACTGGCGAACCAACCAGAACAGGGGGATTGACTAGTAAACATGGGGGAGAAGAAAACAACAACAAAAGGATGTACACGTCACAGAAATCTTGATCCAAGCAAAACACGAAACTCCGAAGTTAACAAAAAAGTTAATGAACCACTGAACCACATGATATGGATTAATATTATATATAATGGGACCAGGAAGCATGATGTATTTGGCAAAAGATGTCCTCGTTGCAAGAGGCTCTTAAGCAGGACGCATGACATAGAAAGACGTGTTCGCCTTTTTTGCCTGTCAATCACCTGTGTAGTCGACATAAGTTGAGCCAAGCTGAACAACTTGCAACTACAATCGAGCCTCCAACTCTAGCAGGGTCAAATCCACTAAGCTTCAGTGTGAATGACGCACAAACAAATACCATGTAAAGACACCGGCTCTGAGAACAGATCTTGGTTGGTAAAGAGCTTTATTTGCTACTCAGAGAGCACTTCCTTCTTTGTTTGGTGCTCTGGATTCTATCAGAACAGATCTTGGTTTGTGAAAGCTTTTTCATCGCCAAAAGCTCTAAAGTAGCAAATATTGAGAGTCATCACTGAACCAGATTCCTTCTACAATGCACAAACACGGCTCAACAGCGTGTGGACATCTTGCTACTCAGAGAGCAAGTGTTTCGTCAAGACTGCTCCCTTCTTTGTTTGGTGCTCTGCATTCTATCAGAACAGATCTTGGTTTGTGAAAGCTTTTTCATCGCCAAAAGCTCTAAAGTAGCAAATATTGTCTCTAGGTCCGCATAAGGAATCATCCAGGGAAATTCAAGGACGACAAGCACATCTGAATTCATTTTATACAGATTCTTGGAAACTGCGAGCGTCTGTCTCTTGGCAACCAGCAAGAGCGAAAAGAAATGACAGCCCAACATAGTCCAGCCAAAGACAAGCAACAACCAGGTGTGATTAAAGTTTGGGAACTGGATAGTTGGAAGCAAGAGGTTCTCAGAACAGATCTTGGTTGGTAAAGAGCTTTTTCATCGCCAAAAGCTCTAAAGTAGCAAATATTGAGAGTCATCACTGATCCAGATTCCTTCTACAATGCACAAACACGGCTCAACAGCGTGTGGACATCTTGCTACTCAGAGAGCAAGTGTTTCGTCAAGACTGCTCCCTTCTTTGTTTGGTGCTCTGGATTCTATCAGAACAGATCTTGGTTTGTGAAAGCTTTTTCATCGCCAAAAGCTCTAAAGTAGCAAATATTGAGAGTCATCACGGTTGCAGGCACCCGCTCCGTCAAGCCAAACATGTGTTTTTTCATTCACAGTTGCCTCGCACACACTCCAATCCAAAAGCTGGATCCAAAACATAAAACATACGTATGCCGTAGGCCAATCATCCAATCATGTCTCTATGTCCACATAGGGAATCATCCAGGGAAATTCAAGGACGACAAGCACATCTGAATTCATTTTATACAGATTCTTGGAAACTGCGAGCGTCTGTCTCTTGGCAACCAGCAAGAGCGAAAAGAAATGACAGCCCAACATAGTCCAGCCAAAGACAAGCAACAACCAGGTGTGATTAAAGTTTGGGAACTGGATAGTTGGAAGCAAGAGGTTCTCAGAACAGATCTTGGTTGGTAAAGAGCTTTTTCATCGCCAAAAGCTCTAAAGTAGCAAATATTGAGAGTCATCACTGAACCGATCCAGATTCCTTCTACAATGCACAAACACAGCTCAACAGCGTGTGGACATCTTGCTACTCAGAGAGCAAGTGTTTCGTCAAGACTGCTCCCTTCTTTGTTTGGTGCTCTGGATTCTATCAGAACAGATCTTGGTTTGTGAAAGCTTTTTCATCGCCAAAAGCTCTAAAGTAGCAAATATTGAGAGTCATCACTGATCCAGATTCCTTCTACAATGCACAAACACGGCTCAACAGCGTGTGGACATCTTGCTACTCAGAGAGCAAGTGTTTCGTCAAGACTGCTCCCTTCTTTGTTTGGTGCTCTGCATTCTATCAGAACAGATCTTGGTTTGTGAAAGCTTTTTCATCGCCAAAAGCTCTAAAGTAGCAAATATTGAGAGTCATCACGGTTGCAGGCACCCGCTCCGTCAAGCCAAACATGTGTTTTTTCATTCACAGTTGCCTCGCACACACTCCAATCCAAAAGCTGGATCCAAAACATAAAACATACGTATGCCGTAGGCCAATCATCCAATCATGTCTCTATGTCCACATAGGGAATCATCCAGGGAAATTCAAGGACGACAAGCACATCTGAATTCATTTTATACAGATTCTTGGAAACTGCGAGCGTCTGTCTCTTGGCAACCAGCAAGAGCGAAAAGAAATGACAGCCCAACATAGTCCAGCCAAAGACAAGCAACAACCAGGTGTGATTAAAGTTTGGGAACTGGATAGTTGGAAGCAAGAGGTTCTCAGAACAGATCTTGGTTGGTAAAGAGCTTTTTCATCGCCAAAAGCTCTAAAGTAGCAAATATTGAGAGTCATCACTGAACCAGATTCCTTCTACAATGCACAAACACGGCTCAACAGCGTGTGGACATCTTGCTACTCAGAGAGCAAGTGTTTCGTCAAGACTGCTCCCTTCTTTGTTTGGTGCTCTGCATTCTATCAGAACAGATCTTGGTTTGTGAAAGCTTTTTCATCGCCAAAAGCTCTAAAGTAGCAAATATTGAGAGTCATCACGGTTGCAGGCACCCGCTCCGTCAAGCCAAACATGTGTTTTTTCATTCACAGTTGCCTCGCACACACTCCAATCCAAAAGCTGGATCCAAAACATAAAACATACGTATGCCGTAGGCCAATCATCCAATCATGTCTCTATGTCCACATAGGGAATCATCCAGGGAAATTCAAGGACGACAAGCACATCTGAATTCATTTTATACAGATTCTTGGAAACTGCGAGCGTCTGTCTCTTGGCAACCAGCAAGAGCGAAAAGAAATGACAGCCCAACATAGTCCAGCCAAAGACAAGCAACAACCAGGTGTGATTAAAGTTTGGGAACTGGATAGTTGGAAGCAAGAGGTTCTCAGAACAGATCTTGGTTGGTAAAGAGCTTTTTCATCGCCAAAAGCTCTAAAGTAGCAAATATTGAGAGTCATCACTGAACCAGATTCCTTCTACAATGCACAAACACGGCTCAACAGCGTGTGGACATCTTGCTACTCAGAGAGCAAGTGTTTCGTCAAGACTGCTCCCTTCTTTGTTTGGTGCTCTGCATTCCATCAGAACAGATCTTGGTTTGTGAACGCCTTTCTCATCGCCTAAACTGGCCATCAAGGATGTCACCTACAAATGTGGCTGTCTGGAAAATCACAAATCAATGGAGGTTTACAGCTGAGAAAATTATCTCAAAAATGTTAATCCCCAATTTGTTTCTTTTCTCCATCATTCATCTACATATTTTTGCTGACATATTAAAACTCTATTATGTAATCGAACACACCATTGATTGTTCATTCAACACTAGTGTTGGTGCTCTTACTTGTAAACCTTGTTGAATAACCCATTTGGATTTCTTATTATTTCAAAAAAAAATCTTGGAAGGTTCTTGGAAGGTTCCAAAGGCTTCGGAATGTTCTTGGAGTGACAGCTCTCGGATAGTCATGTCCTATTTCTTTTGAACTTGAAACATACTATAGGCTAAACAACATAATGGCAAAAACAAATGGTCTCTTTTGACGCTTACATTCTGGTACGGACACCCAACTCGCAGCACCTTCTGATGGACTTCGATCTTGAGACTGAGAGCGGGTGACTGACTTGTGACCGGGATACTGGGGGTATATGTGTATGTCATATGGAGGTTTTAATGGGGAAATCCTGGGAAGATCGTATGGCATTTTTTCACCAGTGTGAGATGAAAAAGGAGGTTTTACCAGCAAATCATAATAGAAAAACCATGAAACAACCGAAATGTGGAAACCACAATGGCGAAATAATCTAGCAGTAATGGGGAAAATCGCTGGAAAATAATGGGACGCAACTTGAAACCAGCATAATGGGGAAATAATTTTGGGACCAGCTGTAACACCAGTAGAATGGGATATATATATATATATGGAATATACAACCAAGAATGGTATATTAATGGAACTTCATTGGGACTCATGGATGATTCGCCAACAAACATGGGGATTGTGGACCAAAATTGGTGATATAATGGGTATGTAATTAATAAATGGATTAAAGACCACAAAAAACATGATATGATATACATACATATATATATATAATGTATACATATTATACACATATAGAATTTATATGGGTGTGTCTGAAATTGGATTATACCCATAAAACCTGCAGTTTTAGTAGCAAATGATGATCAACCAGCAAAGTTGGGGGTACCATGTTTCAGGACAAACCGGCATGAAAAGTGTGGAAAATGACTCTCAAATGCTTCTGAAACATGACGAGAAACCACCAGCAAATCTTGGAGGCAGAAGCGACAAGTTTCCCAGTAAAACAAATTGGCCGCATCTGAAGATTTTGAAGCCGCAACCCCTATAATTATAATCTATTTTTGAAATAAGCCATTAATCAGCAGCGGCTAGTTCCAATTCCTCAATCCATTTGTACGTAATGTATATATCATGGTGACTGACCGGCTGCAAAGTGAGATGGCGATGCAGGGAACTTCTCAAAATTGGAGCAACCTATCTCTGCCAGATGGATATGTGGCCCCCAGTAGCCCTGAACCATGTTTTCCCGGTATTCAAATGGGGTTGTCTGAAAATAGGCCCTTAGATCCCTGGTTGATTTCTCAAGATTTCCCCATGAACATTGCTAGAAAATGGGGTATACAGTATGCCCAATTTTTAGACAAAGCCCCATATCATATCAAGTTGGTTTGCTATATCCATCTCATATTCCTATGACATCCTATTTATATATATATATATTGTTGGTTATGTGTCATATATCCCATTAAATGGCCCATTGATACTCTATAAGTATCAATTAATATGCCATGAATGTCCATTAATATCACACTGATATCCATTAACATCCCAATAATATGCCACTAATATCCCATTGCTATTCCGACAATATCCCACCCATATTCCATAATATTTCATATATATATAACATATACATATCCTCTAATTCATATATCCAGTTCATATATTCTCTAGGATCCTCATCATCGCCTCAACGACCTCCATCCTAAAGGGATTGCCCACAGGATGGGGGATGCAATCCCCACAGCATGGGTCAACAACCAATCAGATCCTGCGTCTTTGGCTGTTGAGGCTCCCATTGTTTCTGGGTGAATCACTTTTTTCATCAGCATGTTTGCTGGTTACATGCCAATATCTGATGGTTCATAGCCCATTCCATCCTGCTTCATCTTCTGTGCTTCATATGATTGTAGTTGCTAATATGTCCTTCATCTTTTGGAGTTGTAAACCTTGCCAGCCGTAGATACCCAGCCACAAGCCACATCATTCGGTGGGTTGCATCACATCCACCACGCTTTTATGAGTTAATACCTAACTGTTACTGGCAGAATCCTTAAACCAAACTGTCCAATTTCTCCGAGAAAAATCATGTTTGCTATTGTTTGCTGGTGAAATTCATAAACTCCCCAGTTCCGCTCATGAAATCATATGAAATCCCTTGGAAGATCTTCGAAGACCCGGTGCCACCACGTCCCCACTTCGTTCCGCAAGCCACGCCTTACTCCTCCGTTCCTTGTAGGAGGATCGCCGCTGCATGCTGGGGCCCTCCGTGCCATCCCTGGGGACTCCGCTTGTTCGCATGACATCAATCAGCCATAGCTGCCATAGCTATATGAAATTCCCAGAGGCTACAGTAAATAGATTGTTAAAGATTGATAGTGTATCTGATAAAGATGATCAAAGATATCAATGAATGGGAAATTGGTGCTTGGGTAAAAGATTGTTTATCTCATAAATTACAGTAAACTGGCCAACTAATGACTGAATATATACATAAATCCATCATAAACTGTTTTATCATTGCAGTACAATGGCGGCCCTTTGATATGGTACAGTATCCCCCATCTTCAGAGACATCCAAATTGCTTGGACGACAGGGACTCGTTCTAGTGTTTTCAAGGAGCAAATGGAATAGGAATCTCTCAATGGACATATAATATAGTCATAGAAATCATAGAAATCATAGTCCAGATAATCATTATCGCATGTTATTTATTGTTATTTAATGAAATCGGAGTGCCTTTTTGACCCTCTCGGACCCCCATTGGTTCTGAGCTCCCGGGCCCGGAGCCTGCGGGAAATCCGTGGCTTTTTTTAATGGCGAAATCAACAAACATCCGATACGTTTTGGTGGTTATAACATGTTATAAACCAATACGGGGATGGGTCAAAACCTTGGTACCTAGTGAACCCCAAAATAGCTGGTAGTTCTGGATGTTCATCCCACTAAAAATGTATCTGTAGGTATTGACCCATAGCCATATTCATCATAGTGTTTTTGGAACGATCTAGCGTGATCTAAGCATGATCTAAGCATCAAACACTGCCAATTCTTAAAATGTAATTTAAAGCGTCTATAAACTATAAAGTGTTCCCATACATTTCGGTCTGGCGACTTGGGGTATCCCATTTAATATGTCAGTTATGACCAACCAATGTAACCAGGGCATACCCCCTTTTTTCATCATAGAACTGTGCGATTTCTTGGCACCAGCCTGGCCTCCACCCTTGAGGGAAGGGGAAGGGCCACGGCACAGGGCATCCAAGTATCCCATAATACTCTTCTGATGTGCCATTTTTTGGTCAAATTGTATAAATCCCAAGTACCAATATGGGTTTGTCCAAAAGTTATTAGTGGTCATATATACCATGAAATATCCTGATCATTTCCTAATTGTGCCACTATTTTTGTTGCTTACCTTCCTCTAAACTAACATAGATGCGGAACAAACACTATTTGTAGTTTACTTTCCTAGGGAAACCATGTTTTTTCCACATCAATGATAGTTTACCCCAGGGTAAATCCCAATTCTGTTACTCTTTCTGTGTGGTTTCTATCAACGCGTTAGGCGTTCACATTCCACCCGGTCACAAAATGTGCGCCTGATTTGGATTCGCCCCCACCAGTCGCCTGTGCAGGGATAGCTGGATCGTCATTCGTTCCACCATTCCTATGGTTCTTTTCTAAATGGGATGTCATGGAATTTACTTCATGACATTTGATGGGACTTCAGGGGATTTAGAACCAGCTTAATAATCTTAATATGATGTGGGTCTGCCTTAATAATCTTCATAACCCTACAGTATTTTGGCCATTTGAATAGGGAGAATGATCATTCTCCAATGGATGGAATGGGGTACCATATTTTCAGACCAAAAAATATCCGTCATTTTGGATCCTCATTTGAAAACAGAGGAATTGGTTGCATCGATCTGGGAAATCATCTGCAAATTCAGCCCCTCAAACCATAGGATTCCCCCGTCATGAAAAACGGGTCCCCTTCTTTGAAAAACTCCCAGTCACGGTGGATTGGAATGTTGATATCTCCGGAGATCTCCATTTTGAATGGGAAAACATCCGGAAATCACCATTTTCACTGGGGGATTCCTCGATGGCCATCTTTCATAGAAACCACATCGCCACATTGCCTGGGAGTCATTGGGCGGTTCCAACTTGGAGGGTCGCAAGGTTTTCTTCGCGCGGGTGGCCTGGCCAGGCTGGACCATTCCCGAAGGTTTGGTGGGATTGTCATGGATTTTCCCAGCATCAAACATGAAAATAGGAATGATTAGGATTACCTAATACCACCATTTACCCATGGATTTACCCATTTTGCCATGTTTGATTATGGGTAAACCAGGTAAATGATCCTAAATATGGGGGATTAACATTGCAAAAACATGCAAAAACCAAGGAACATTGTGGTTTGAACCAGGCAAACGGGGGGATTGGAAACAAGAAATCATTGGAATTTGACTTATGAATCTGGCTATGTGTCAGAAGTAGGGATGGTCATTTCTAGTATTGAACCATCCATCCATTCTTTGGGGGGAAGAAGTTTGAATATGTTCATCCCTTGTTGGTGATTAAATTCCTTTCTTTAATCAAGTTAGTGAATGTCCGGTCCAATTCTTATCCATGTTTGGCGGGCCAAACATCCCCATTTCTATCCATTTTTGCCCATGATATATATTCCCACTATATCCCCATCATATCCTCATAAATCACCATTTTTCCTACGCGCCCACCGTTCTGCGATCTGCGCTTCCGCCTCCCCCGAGTCCGCGGACTTGCGGCGCTCCTCGGTGCCTGGCAGGAGAAGTTTCGGGGCGATTTCAGGTACATTTCAGGAGAGTTCTTCAGGGCCACAGCCTGGAGGTTCAAAAATAGGTTGTTTATGGTTATTCATCAACTTTTAGTAACAGATATTAACAGATAATATCAATAATAACCAATTCGAATTTCTATTTCATCAATTATTTATCAACCCTCCATTTTGCCGGACAAAATTCGGATATGACAAATAAACATTGAGATGTAACCAGCAAAACTTGTGATGAAACCCGGCAAACAAGGTGTAGTTCAGTAACCAAAAGATTCAGATTCAACCTGGCCAAAGTTGGGATTCACAAAATGTTGGATTTTACCATTTAATTTAACCAGCAAAGTTGGGATATTCAACTGACTAAAAGAAGAAGGGATCAACAAAAACTAGGATTTATGATTTAAGCAACCAAAATTGGGATTTTACCACAGACATTGCGATTTAACCAAGAAATCCCGACTTTTATAATAAGACTATGCCATACCCTCCTCTGACATAGACCTTGCAAGGGTTGGAAGACTGCTTGCATCTAGAAACATCTCTCAGTGTCTCAGTGTCTATGTTAGTTGGGGGGGATGGTGTTCAGCAAGCAGCTCGGTTTTTACCAGGCAAAAAATCTGGATTTCAGCAACAAACACGAGGATTTACCAATCAAAGTCTTGATTTTTCAAAGACTCAGGGCTACCAAAATGGTGACAGGCTGTGAAGATTTTGAACATGGAGGATCTAATCGAGTAGCAAAAAGACTGGCCTGGCTTTTGTCAGCGATGGGGATTTAACCGGTCAAATTCTAGGGGATTTGGATGGAAACATGGCTTGTCTTGGAGGCCTCGTGGCAGATATTCTTCGTTGATTTATCAGTGCTTCACTTCATTGTCAAGAGTCTCAAATCACCTGCAAAGTCCACGATCAAAGAGATGAAACCAATAAACCAAAAATCTACTAATGCTATCCAATTCTCTTGAAGAAACGATACAAAATGAAACGATACAAAATCTAGCTCGATTAGCTGCAACCTCCAGAAAGATAGACACGTGAAATTCTACTAAAATGACGGCAAATTTAACCTTTTCCGCGTCTTTGCGGGTATTACTATAAAGTCGTTCAAGACCACCAGGTCTACGAGCTGCCGACTCGCCGACCTGCAGATTTCTTGGCGCCACCGCTGTCCCTGACAGTTCCATGCGGTCCAAAAAGTGGGACACTGAGGATACCCCCAGTCTTTTTTGATGTATGTTGCAATGCAAAAGGACAAAAATGTTACTTGCTCATACTTGCTGATCGCGAGTGATCACCATCAACTGGGTAAACTGAGTCATGATTTTCGTGGATACATGTCTAGGGCTTTCCTCACATGGATGTACCCCCAAATCATCCTGGGATTCCACATGTTCGGACGCCGGGGAATCACCACCAGGTCCTCCAACCAGGTCCACCAGGTTTTTTTTCCATAAAACAGACCTAGAAAATCCATGGCTTTCCCTACAAAAATGATCTACAAATGGTAAATGTTCCACATCTCAACGGCAAAACCACAGGCTATCCCTGCTGCCGCTGGCACCACCCTGCAATTTTTGACCTCCAGGAGAGGAAGAAGACACCGCAGCCCACGATCAGCATCAAGGAGACGAACTGGGACGGAAAAGGCAGGAACCATGCTTCTGATCATGAAGATTCTTCATATTAGTACGCGTATACACGCTTAATTATATGTATATATAGTTATATATAATATGTTTATAAGCATATCGATATATGCTACGGATAATAATCACAAAATGATCTGTCTACTGATAGTAATGGTCAAGGGAAAAGGGATAGAAACATCCTGGTTTCACCAGACCCCTCAGCGGATCAAATGCTTGGTTTGGACCATTGGACCCCCCCAATGGCAGCTGGTCTCCAAGTGAAGATCGTAGTAAATCACCATCCCATAGATGGGCAGTGATAGTTTCATGGGTTTCTCCTAGAAACCCTGGATGATGAGGAAAGCCCTATTCTTGGTGAGTCATGGTTTCCTGTTAGATCTTCCATTAGCCCAGTGAATAGCTGCAGGTATCTAGTTGAGTTTCAATGATTGGATGTGCATCCCATCCTACTTAGTACATGGCGTGTAATGGGGAGATTCCATGTAGACAAACCAGGGTCATAACGGGTCATAAAATGGTTTTACCCACTTACTAACTGGAATGCATCCCCAAGTATCCCATTGATGTTCCGATGCTATTATGTATCATTTCTGTTGATTAGAACATAATAATTATGAGGTTCCAGTTTTTGCTGATCACATCTCCATTTTTGGTGGTGAAATCACCATTTGTGTTGGATAGATGTTAAATAATATTAAACTTTTTTTCTTAGGTAAATATCAATTGTGCTGCTAGTTCAACTTCCCATGTTCCATAATTTTTGATGGCTTACCCTCTGGTTATGTCAAAATGGCTATTGAAAATGGCCATAGAAATAGTGAGTTTTCCCATTAAAAATGGTGATTTTCCATAGTTATGTGGCAGTTTACCAGAGGGTAATCACCATATTATCACTATATTGTCACTATATTTACCAGTAATAGTCACTATAGTGTCACCATATTATCACTATTTATCACTATATTGTCACTATATAGTATCACTATTAATCACCATAGTAATCCACTTTTTTGCTGGGTAAATGTCCATTCGCAGCTGGACATAGCGTTGGGGACCCTGGGGACCCTGGGGACCCTGGGGACCGCGCCGCACCCACCATGATAATCATGCTACTGGCGTCGCTGTCGACCTAAGGACTTCACGTTGGACATTACGTTGGACATTTCTATGTAATGTGTACTTATATATATATATATGTATGTACATATCATATGATATGATATAATATATATATATATGTCTGTATGTACATATATATATAATGATATTTAATGTGTATATAACATACAAATAAGTGAATTCAAGAAATAACATCATATAGATAGTTGACAAAGATATCCGAATGCCCTCCAAAGAGATGGATTAACATCCGGAGTTTTTAGCCAATGAAACTGGGGAGAGTGATGAAAATCCATACGATAATAAATCGATAAATCGTAAACAAGTCCTGCATAGAACATATCCCAAATATGAAGTTCCTATAATTGTTATCATCATGATTCGACTCATGCACATTAATCTTCATGTCTGGAACACACTGTGATTTTTCTGACAAATCCATCATCCAATGAAAGCAAAGCGCAACGAAATAAGTGGTCGCTGGCCCAGCACATCGCTGGTGGGATCGTCCTGGAATGTCTTGGATCTCTATTGTTTTCCCCCGAAAATGATCAGTTTAGCTTGGATCATAGCTCCGGGCCCCCCTTTTTAAGGAAACCTCAAGCTGTTATCCCCATTCCTGTTGGTGAAATCCTGATCATGGGATGATACCCCCCAAAAAGTACGTATCCATTTTACATTCTATCACCATCTGGTCATTTAATATAGCCATGGAAAATCACCAATTTTAATAGGTAAACCTCTATGAATGGGCCATTTCCCATGGCTATGTTAGTCATAACCAGAGGGTATATCTATTGCTCCAAAATTCTCCAGCTATCCACAGCCCAAATTTCATGGACCGATCCATGCCACAATTCCGCAACTCTTTTGGGCCCAGCAACGGCAGCTTTCTTGGCGTCTTCCCCTTCGGTCTCCTGACAAAGCTTCGGCGCTCAAGGTGGCTTAAGCAACTCTGAAATTGCCTGAAAATTACTCTCTGGTAATTTAACATAGCTATGGAAAATCCACTATTAATGGTCATTTTCAATAGCTACGTTAAATTACCAGAGGGTAAAGATTTTAACCAACCAATGATGGCCATTTTGAAAGGGGAAATGATATGAAGTGATGATAAAGCGGTAGAAGGAATGGGGCACCCTATGGCCCTATGTTCTGACAAACCGACGAGTTTTAAGCCGCCCCAGAAATATCCAAAGCACTTTGCGTCCCTAGGAGTGAATTACCCATATCCCAAATCAGGTGTGAAGGTAAAACATGTTGGGGTGGCACTGGCGGAACAAACTTGGGTTTCCCCAGTTTTTTTGAAACATGCTGCCAATAAGGATGTGTGATGCAGGATGCACTACTTACTACAAAGCCTCATGAGTGACCCTTCCCCTAGGACAACAACCGGAATCTTGCTATATGCTTGAGCAAGGGTCAACATGGCTCGGAAATTCCAGGAAGTTTGCTAGGTGATTAGTACAGTAACTTAAATACCCTCTGGCAATCAAATCTGGCACTAGAAAATCATCCATTTAAAGATGATAATCCCACTAAAACCCGCCATTTCTAGGGGATTCTCCAGCTAGCCATGATTGATTACCAGAGGGTATGCAACCAACACCGAACCCCTTAACCACTCACCTGCCTCCTCCTTCGCGGGGGGAGATGCGGCCGAAACAACAATCCTTTCGGAACGGGACAATGGTGGGAACAGCGTGCGGCTTACAATAGGGAAGAGCCCAGTCTCTGTAGCCGCCAAAATGCATAAGATGATGATCAAGCATGGAATATCCTCTGGTAAACTAACATAGCTATTGAAAATTGCCATTTATAGTGGATTGTCCCATTAAAAATGGTGATTTTCCATAGCTATGTTAAATTACCAGAGGGTATCATGAATGGAAATGGAGCAGTACCACTGCACGGATTTCGTCAGCAAAAGTCGTCAAAAATGGGGATTGAACGCGCCTGGAGGATTTCGATAGGGGTTCCCCGTTGAGGAATATAGATGTAACCCCAAACACCTTTTATCATTGAGAAACGTCCTCCAAATGATAACAACAAACTCCCAGATTAAAAAGCGCTGAGTGTCCCTGACATCTTTTCCGTGCCATTGGTGCTGTTAGAAGCCTTTTCATCATCCTTCTTCTCCTCTTTCTCTTCCTGAAGGCAAGTGGTGTGGCTCGATGGCTGCAAGGCTGTCCCTGCAAAGCGAAACACGCGTATACTATGTGTGTATGTATATATATATAATTGTATGTGTATGTATATATGTATATATGTATATATATATAATTATATGTACAGAATTATTTATGCTATCAAATCATATTATGATACATAATGTATTCAACATATACAGCATTATAAAATTGTGAATATTGTACCATTGTGTATAATTGTATGTGTCTGTGCCTTTCACAAAAAACACTTTATTGAAACCAAGCACGTAACGGGCCTCAGTGGTCGTCTCTTCCGTGCTGGTCGCCGCTACAGTGGTTGCTGCTGCTGTGGTAGCTGCTGCGGTTGTTGCTGCTGTGGTGGGAACTGTGGTGGGAGCAGTGGTAGCTGCAGCCCCACTGGCCACACTGGCAACCGGAACTTGACTTTGCACTGTCATGCCATTGGTATTTCCGCCCATGGACATTCCACCCATGGACATGCCGCTGTTGCCCATCATTCCGGAAGGTGCCACGACCTAGGGGGCCGCAGCTTGGCATGGAGTCAAAAATTGACATCAGTTGAGAACTACAAATGGACCGGTGCTTTGAATTAAAAAAAAATGACGCATACACATCCATACCCACATTCTGCTTCAATAGTCCTCAACCATCTTTCTTTGTAATTGTGTTTTTCGATATTCGATGATTCTGCCCTTCTTTTCAAACATCGTTTTTTTGGAAACCCAATATTGATATGAAAGAAAACCATGAATGAAAAACAAAGGAGATCGTCTGCCACTCTGTCGGCGCACCACAGGTTGCTCCAGACTGCCATTGGCCCAAACCTGCAGCAGGTTCAAAATGTGTCCCAAATCGAGACAACACTGTTACATGGTTCATCAAGGTGTCTGATTCCGATTCCAGAGATGTTTCTGACATCATCTTTTCGGGAGTTTGACTATTTCACCACCAACCACTGTCGTTTCATGACATGTTTGACCCTCTGTCTCTTCCCATCAACTCCGGGGGTTTACGCCCACGCTATGGCCATTTGGGGAATTGGATGACAAACCAAAGGATCCAATGGATTTCAGCTACCAGATTTTTTCACACATGGCACAGGCATTTGGTTTCTAGCGGCCCAGGATTTCGCTGGCCTCCAATCTCTGCAGCCCATCTTCACTCTTCCGCATCATGCGATGGTTCCTGCATGGGAGGCGATGATGTGCGGGTGAGGCATCAGGACTTTCAAGTTGTTTTTGTTGCCAAAAACAATGTGGAACCGTCATAGGGCCTTGTTGCCAGCAAAGCCACACTGTTTTTCTATATATGCACATATCACATATCTACATATATGTTCAGGCATAGACTATAAATCATATGATGTTATAGTCTGTCGCCAGACAAATGCACGTGTGTGAAGATGTGTATGGGGCGTGTGTATATGAGTCACATATGTGTTATGTGCGTGCATGCATACATATAAATATATATATGCTCATGTGCCAACTGTTGTTCAACACATGTCTTTGGTTTTATCAAGAAACTCAGAACACCCGGGTGTGGTTAAGGCATGCTTGGGCAAATGGATGTGCATCGGATGATCATCCCATTTCTGTGCTTGACCATGTCACACTTGAAACCACCAGATGGAGGTGTTCGAAAATTGGGGTACCCAAAATCATCCAAGTCATTTCATTTTAGTTTTGAAATGTATTGAAAGCCATGGTGACTTGGGGATCTCCCATTTAAAGAAAGAACCAAAGATCAGAACTGGCAGCTCTCTCACCATGTTTTTCTCTGCAGGCGCCCCCAGCGTCACCGGCTCCGGCGCCGCTTCAGCGCCGTTGGACGCCGCGCGCTGCGCTTCCAACGCGACGGCGGAGATGCTGCACCAAGTGGCGCTGCGGAGGAAAAGGCCCAGGGTGCCGAAGAGCAGCAGGGCTCTCCTGAAGAGCAGCAAAAATGGCTGGTTTAACCAACAAAAATGGTGGTAGAATGGTGGTTTTTGATGGGGATATCAATTGAATTATTCATGGTATGTTGACCATTGCACCAGGCTCATGATGTATGTCCTGAATACAAAGTGGCACAGCTTAGAAGACAATATGTCACACAAAATATATATGGTGTAACATGCGAATGACATTGTCTGACGAAATCAGAAGACTAATCGGCAGCAAGAAGTGGGGAAGTGGGGCGGTAACCCTGTGACTCAGAACTGGCTGGTAGTGACTGCATCTGACAATTGTCTGGATCTATGGCATCTGAGTAATAGTAGACATGTAACCAACATGTGCCAACATGAGTAGGGAGAACTTGCAGCTTAGATACCAGAAAACATATTTGGGCGCTTCGTGGGAGAATGGGCAAAACTCATGTTGCAAACTTGAAACATTTTGGACCATGTCCTTGCTGCTTCCATCTCCAGGTTTCTTTTGCAATTTTGTGCATTACCACTATTTTCAATGCCTTTTCTTTGCCGGCAAAGGATGAATCATTTTGGTGGTACAAATTCCACAAATGGTAGGTGAAACTCCCATATTTCGATGGGCAGACAGTCAGACACTCCAAGATTTCCGAACGTACCCCTGAAATTTTGCCAAAAAAACAACATTTCGAAGTCAATCATGTTGAACCACCATTTGGCAGTGTGTCAAAACCCTGTACCCCTGATGAACATCAAAATAGCTGGTAAATGGATGTTCATCCCCCTAAACATGGTAGTCATAGGTGTTGATCCATAGCCATTTCTTCCTTGGCAAAACGCTGCATGACCCGACGTCCGCCTGAGGGCACAGGCCTCATCGCAGCTGGGCGACTCGCCAAAGAAGTCCGAGATCCAGCCGGTGAGGATCGGTCCCAGCGCCATGCCCAGCGCCCAACAGGTCTCCTCTGTGCGTTTAAAGGGGTGCTTATATAAAGGGGTTTTGCACCATATTATGAGGATTTAACCCCTTTATATGGGTAGAACGATGATTCTACCCATATATGATTCTAACCATATTATACCTTTTGGGTAGAATAATGAAGCCCCCCAAATATGGGTTCATTATTGGGGTTATTGGGTGATTCTACTATTATGAGGTAGAACCCCCCAAAAGTTACAAATGGGTAGAATCATCGTGAAATAACCCCTTAAATAACCCCAGTGCTTGTGGGGATAGAACCATACTATGATATTATGGTTGTAGATCCACTTATAACTGGGACTGCACTTCCAAGTGGGGCTTTTTTTTGGGGCTGGAAACAGATGTTTTGGAAATGGAGAAACACACAACTGGAAACCATTGGATCTTTATCGGTTGAAATTTTAAAGGAAAAACATATGGGAACCCCTCCTTTTTACATGGTATGTTTGCCATCAACTATGGGGGGTCCGACTTTCCATGGGATTTTCCTTTTATAAAATTCTAGGAAAATGGACCCACCATATCTTTGGCAAGTTTTAGCACTATAGGTTAATTATGTATTACTGCAGTACTGATATGGTACGGAGGTACCATTTCCAACAAGAAACTGGATGGTTTGAATGGGTATAGAACCACCCGTGAAATGAGGATATGATATGACGAAGCAATGATGGGGAATACATATATATATATATAGGAACGATCATTCCAGGATCAAAGTCTAGTAATCTCAATAGATGGCAATAGTAAAACCCAATTTTGGGATGAAAATACATAATACATCATAATACATACATAATACGACATCATTGTCTCATAGATGGATTTTCATGGATTTTCCATTTGCTTGCCAGATGGTACTAGGGTTCCTGGGAAGAGTTGACCACCAGTCGCCAGGAAATCATGGGGCTAAAGCACACTCATGTGGCCATGAGTCAAAACCCATGGGCCCGGATAGTACCCAAAGTCATAGCTGGTGAATGGATGTTTATTCCCCCAGTCATATGGTAATCATAGGTTGTGACCCATCTATGAAAACATAGATCCGCAGGAATTGAGGCGAATCCGAAGCTGAGTGTGTGAATGCACTCAATCGCTTCTCAAAAACATGCATGGCTGATGGGAACAGTCCGGGTCAGAAAGAGAAAACAGGCAAGATACCCTAACATGTTGATACTAAACATTCTAGCATTGTGTCGTTACTTCCTCATTATTGAAAATGCTGAATTATGCAAACAAATATTCATACAAAAACCCTAAGTTCCGATTATATGGATATCTTCTCTAGTTTTATCTCTTCGAGCATTGCTGGTGATATTCCCATTACACTTCCCTTCTGCTGCATCTTGCAGGCGATGTGCTTCAAACTTTCTCTGCAGTGCTGCCCGTCGCTTTAAACAATCATGCAATCTACGCAATATTCCATAGACACAAAGAACATAGAGTATTAATTATATAAACAGATTCTTTGACTGTTGGTGAAAACCCCCGTCGAAAAAATATGTTTGCAGTTTGCCATTGAGACTCATCATCTCCGGGAAGGAAATATAAGCATCTAAAACCACCAGTCGTTTGTGTACATATATGGACATCGTTATATATGCGTAGCATTCGATTTATTGTTTATCGATCCCCATTTGTGTTGGCTAAATCATCCCAAATAGTGTGTTTAAACACATGTGGTTTAACCAACAACCACTCCTGTTCAGCAACCATCCTCGTATAATCCGTGGGTTTCCCAGCATAGGTTACTACATCATCAATGGTTTTTTTTGGGAACATGTCAAGGAACCAGGTGTTTAAGATTGTTTATCCCCAACTTCTGGGAGGTTTCCTGTGAATTTTCCAGCCAGGGAACAAGCATCCCCTGCACCGTGCCGCGCACGCCGTGACTCTCCGCCTGGGGTCTGAGCGGATCCAAAATGTCACGGCTGAGTTTGCCAAATTTTCCCGATGAAATCGGCCGAGTTTGCCAATGTATATGGGAAAGATTGTTTCCTGATCAGACAAGCCCATGAACGAGTGAAATGCCACTAGATTTGCAGAACTATGTATCACTGTATAACTCATTGTCTAACCCACTTTCCACCCCTACCGTCTCTTCCCGCGTCGAACCGCCTCCAATCCCAGTCCATCCGCCAGCCATTTTTGCCGAAACATGGGAAGTGATTTCCTGGTGATTTGTTTTTTCAGCGAGGGGTAGCTCCACTTCATCCATTTGGGCGAATTGTAAGTGTCCAAACCTCAAACCAGCCCCTTTACATCCCTGGCTTCGCTCCGAAAATCACTGTCTGGGTTTGTCTGAAAAAAAGGCGTACCTCCAATTCCAGTGGATGTTCATCCATTCCCCATCAAAAAAAAGATTGGGGCATAACATGGCATAACCGGTTTTGGGGCAAACCAAGTATTTGTTGCTTAAACATGACCAGTTATATCCCCATATGTATATATATATATATTTAATATATACATGTATATATATATATACACATATATGCATGTGTATATATATATATATATGCATACTGTAATTCGGTTTTGGTCAAACGCCAATTCTCCTGGTAGAACCAATGAACTTCCTGTACGGAATTATTTGTATGTTAAAACACCATCCAAATATCCATTCTGTTTGTCAAATGGCTAAAGTCGCAAGTTCCTTTCACTTCTCGATCGGTCCCCTTGACCACGCCATATGAACTTACAAAATCCTTGAAATAAGCATGTGTGAGATTAAATTCAATATGTCGCCTAGAACAATACCCGCCGCATCAACTGCTGCTTATCCCTAATGATCTTGCTGGTGATATCCGCATTGTATCTTCAGTATCCCCATAAAATAGTTGAAGGTTTGTCCATTATATCCCATTTCCCCATGACCTCTCTGTTCTGTCGAATGATATCATATGGCTTACAGTTGAAATATCATAGCCATGCCATGATAATTCCAACTATTTTCACAAAACGAAACTTTTCCACGCAAAATCGGCGTTTCAACATGGCCATGTTTACTGGTGTCAATGTGATAAACCCAATGCCATAAACTATCCCTATCACCAGTTTCATGGGATTGAAACCATCCCCAAAATGCTAGTTAATTAATGTTGTTTATTCTTATTGGGTTTGCCAAACGTTGGTACTGGTGTGCATATAGATATAGTATAACCATATATATATATTATATTACCATATATAATCCATATATTATATATAGCCGATGTATAACCCATAACTGCCCATAACCCATCCCTGGCCCCCGGCCCTGGCGCCTGGATCACGGCCTGCAGCCCCTGGCGCAAGGCTCCACTGCAGGTGCCCAGCGCGCTCCAAAGGACCAGCTCCTCGAAGCTCGTGGCCTCGATGGCCAGGACGCCCAGCAGCAACGCCAAGGCGTCGCCCAGCGCGGCAAAGCGCCTCCCAGCGCGGGTGCTGCGGTCCCGGGGGGGACAACGGGGGGCAACAAGGGGCAAGGGGAAAGGGGGAAAGCAACAGGGGTTGGGAAAATGATGGAAAATGAGGATTGAACTATATTTTTTGGCAATTGGAGAGAATTGGGAGTTTTGATCAACATTTGAAAAAAAAACGGAAACTGGGAATTCAACAGCACAACGTGGGATTTGAAGCTGGAAAATTGAGAGTTAGACGCTATTAGACCAACAAGTTGGTTTACTGTATATGCACATATTAGAATATATACGTAGATAATCATAGATATACTATGATATACTGGAATTGGGCCCAAGTCGGGATTCTGCTAACCTATATATTGGGGATGTTCATTTACTATCATTTACTTGGATTACGTAAGAATGATTGCGGTCGTTTCGTGATTCAAACCTCGATTTTCCCTCGTCAGTGCCCCATGTCTGTCACTTCAAAGTCAGGAACCCCAACTCAGCTCGAAGCAACTCAAAAACTTGTCAGTTCACCTTCCCAGGGTCTCTATTCAACAAAGCAATTTGGACCCAATATGTTTGCAAACATTCAAAATTGGGAAAAACACACACGTAGGAAAAACATAGGATTTACCTCCCCAAAAAAGGAAAACATTGGTAAAAAAAAATCCGTGATTTTGACCTCCTATTTGTTTTCTATGTTTGTCTTTTTTCCCTATTGGTGTTCCTATGTGTTTCCTATTTTGTCCTATGTTTTCCTATTCTTTTCCTAGCAAAGCGTTCCAAGAAAAGGGTTAAAAATGTAAAGAGGCAAAGGTAGAGAGCACAAGGAAACAACAACAGGATACAACAGGTACAAAGCTCTAGGAAATAACCCTCTAGCAAGTAGATGGTCGGAGAATCTGGACGCAGCTGTCTCTACAAAATAAATATGAAGAAACTCAAAGAAACATGTTACTTAACATGATATTGACATGGCCTGTGTCAACAAAAGTGAACCTGCATGGCCACCGATGATCAGGATTTTTGTTTTTTTCCCTAAGGAACTGCACATGTTTAGCGTGTTTCTCCAAGACGTTGATCACCCAAAAGGTTGTTGGAAAAATGGACTTCAGACCCTGTGACGAAAACCCTCAGTTGGGTTGCCCAGTCTAGACCCATCCAGGGACCCTAGGTAGTTGAGGTTTACGGATTTTCCCATATTTTCCCTATCTTTTTCCCCATCCAAGTGGCAGATTCACCCGCAAGGTGCGCCACTTGCGGTAGCATCGGTCCACCAGGTGCCCCGCGCCGAAGCCGCTCAGCACGCCGCAGACGCCCAGCACGGGGCCCAGCACCAGACCGATGTCGCGGGGCGCGCGGTGGTGCTGACGCTCCACGAAGGCGCTCAGGAAACGCATGTGGCCGGAGAGAAGGCCTGCCCGGTTAGGGGGAAGCCATGGTTAATAACTGCTTAGTAATGGTTAATGGTTAGTAAATTGTGAATAATGACATGGTTAATGATATATCATAATGATAACCATGGTATCATAATAGTTAGTAATGGTTAGTAACAATGGTATAAGAATGGCAATACTAGGGAAAACGATGGTTATAAATAGTTAGTGATGATTAATAGTGGTTGATAGTTGGTTAATAGGGTGATGAATGGAACTGCCCTTCCGTTCGATCAAACATGGCTGACAATGGAAAATCCCCAAACCAGCCATGGAGGTTTAGTTTGCTGGGAACACAACGAACTAAGTGTCGGGGGCCTGAAAACATGGTTGGCAAAAATATGAGAAAAATTAAATCTATGGGGGAAACATATGATAAATAACCAAGGTTGCTCAAAAAAAACAGATACATAGGGGGGAAACTGGGCAGATACAGAGGTAAAATGACCAGGCCCCCGTTATCTATGAAATGATGAACATCATGACTATCTTTGTAAATATACCCTCTGGTAAACTAACGTAACTATGGAAAATCACCATTTTCAATGGGTAAATCCAATATAAATGGTCATTTTCAATAGCTATTTTGACATAACCAGATGGTAAGTGGGGTTTGCTAGGAGGTCTATACTCAATGGGGATAGGCATCAAGGTGGATAAAATGGGATAAGCACCTGGATAACAAGTTGCAGCCGACTGAAAATGGTCCCACAAATCTTGAAATATCTCCCAAGAAGCATTCCTCCCCATTTTCAAGAAAAGAAGAAACAGTCCTGCCATCCACAGCATTTTAGTCTTGACATTGCTCTGAAATGAATGATAAGTTCTCCCATTCCCATTTTAGGTCACCCTCCGGTCCGGTCATCAAACATGGCAATCGGAAATGCCCCATCTAGTTCGATGATTTTCCCAGCGAACTATACCTCCATGTAGTGCGGAAAGTTCCCATTGCTATATTTGATGACCGGAGGGCATCATATAGTATTGATTGTGCATCCCATTATATTCCTGCAAAATACTAGCATATCCCCAGATTGGTTCTATATATCCCCATCCATTCAATTATCCCGAAAGGCTAGTGATTTGCAGCTTTTATAAGGAGGTGTCCTAAGTCATGGGGCCACCCCCGAATCATCCAAGTCACGGATGAACATGACTTAGTATTGAAAATATGGTCTTGGGGATTCCCCATGACTTAAGAAAACCCCCCTATGGTAAGTTGGAAAATGGTGATTTCATGGTGATATTCCATGATGACTATGGGACAAGTATGGAAAATGGTGATTCACCAGCTAACATGGTGATTTAATAAGCAAAAGATGATTTTCCCACTTATTTCATGAGATATACAGTAATATCGTCATTTTATGATCTTTTTCCCACTTTTTCCCAGGTATTTCCCACCTAACATGGTGATATCTCCGCGCCTGTGAGGTGCCATCCAAGCATCAGCAACTGGATGACCCTTCGCCCCATGAGCTCCCGCAGATCCGTGGCCCAGCTGCGCTCCGGAGCGCCGACGACGGACGCGGAACCACTGGGGATGGTGAAGATGAACAGCAGCGCCACGATGATCTGAGAAAAACAGCGGCACGATGACGCGAGATATCTATGGGAAATATCTAGTAAAAACCTATGGGATCCATGAAATATCTATGGGATCCATGAAATATCTATGGGATCTATGAAATATCTATGGGATCTATGAAATATCTATGGGATCTATGAAATATCTACGAAATATCTACTAAATATCAGTGTGGGCTATCATCCCAAACATTGATGAGCATTCCAACTGATTGTCATACTTTTTGATTGAAACTGGAAGATATGAATGCACGTGTATGTGATCTATACGGGTCAACTGGGGTGCCAGTCAGGAGATCCCAGGAATGCAGAGCTTTCAAAGGGGCCGAATGTGGCGAATGTAAATATCTCGGTTGATCCCCCCAATTCACGAGTCCAGTGGAAATAAGGTTGAACAAGAATGTTACTGGTGCTAAACGTAGGGAATGGATGGGAATGGGGGAATGGGATTATTACTAGTGATTATGGATCATTCCATCATTCCCTGCTAAGCACCAGTAAGGAATTCGGAATCGTAAACACAAAGTGATATCTCCCAGAATCACGGGAGTTGCTGAACAAAAGGAACCACCCAGGCCTTTGAATAGTGGAAATTGCTGGAAAATGTGGGATACATTGCCCAAATAAGAAGCATGAATACAGAGGCAAACACAAATGGATCTTTAACAACCTCAATGGGAACCTGTAATCCAGCTGTCGGCCAATTCTCCCCTGGACCAAAATCCGCGCCTGAGTCAAACCTTGAGACCCAGGCAACAAGATTGACTGCTGGCATTTTTTGTATTACCCAATTGTTGGTTCCGGATAGCAAATATAGAAAACCCGATAATTAATAAACCCCAACTTTGAAAGGTTCATGAGACTCCCGAATAATGATTAGTATATATACATATACTATATCATTTTAAATATTAAATGTTGTATGTTATATTGATATATTTTATATTATAATATATATATATATATAAATCATATATTATATAAATTATATATTATATATCATAATTATATAATATATCATTTAAAATATATTGAATATTACAGTAAACATTAAAGATTGTATATTATAAATTTCATATTATATATAATAGAGTTGTTGATATACATATATATATACACCATAATATATTACATTAACGTTTTTTTAATTATATATTAAATATTAAATATTGTATCTTATATATTATATGTTATATTACATATTATATCTGATATGTATATTGTATATTATATATTAAATATTATATATTATATATTGTATATTATATATTATATAATATATTATATATTATATATTATATATCATATGTAATATATTTTACATTATATATTATATATTATATATTATATATTATGTATTATATATATTATATTATATTATACATATATTGTATATTATATATATTGTATAGTGTATATTATATATTATATGTCATAGATTATAGATTAAATATATAATATTATATACTATAAATTATATATAATATATAAAGTATTTAACTTTAAATCCTGTATATTACATATTGGATATCAAATATCACATATTTAAATGTAAATTATATATTATATATTATCCATTATATATTATCTATTATGTATTACAAATTATTTATAATAATATAAAAATTATATACAATATATTTTTAATTTTATAGTGTATATTAAAGATAATATTATATTTAATATTATACATCAAATTAAATATTATATTAGATATTATATCAACCTGTATTTGATTTTATATTTTATTCTATTACATTATATTATATTGAATATTATATTATATTGTATTTTGTTTTGTTATATTATATTGAAAATTATAAGATGATATATTATATTATATTAAATATAATATATATATATGCCTTCAGCTTGATTGGGTTTACCACATCACAAACCAAGTCAAGGTTAATCAGTTACGTTGGCTGCATTATGCATTCCCATTCGATGGTAGCCAAGTTTCTATGATTGTGGCGTCCATTATTCATTGTGTTTACCGCATGATTGTTTCATCCAACATTTACGTTTTTATCCGCAATCGAGTCTGAAACTATCCAAAAAGTACAATGCCATAAACCTCTGATTGGTGGGGATGGTCACAAAACACCCAATTAACTGATAAGCCATCCGGGGTGATTGGGTGAATTGGGTGGTTCATTTTTTTCGGGTTGGGTTTACCAGGCTCCCTCCAAGCAAATGATAGTGAATGTTCCTTTTTTGCTGGCGATTTTTTTGATAGCGAGATGGTTTGCCCAGAAAGAAACAATCCCAAAATTGAAATTTTCTTTGGGAAACCTCTGGATTTTGGGGACACTACGCTTTTGGGGACATAACCACCACCACGACTTTTGGATGGTTGCACCCTGCTGGTAAACCGTCATTTATTGTTGGATTCACCCATGCTGAAACCTCAATTTTTTGGTGGCTACCTCCTGATTCTTCATAGTTGTGCCAACCCCCTTCCTTGATGGATGGATAACTATGTTTGTGGTTAAATCAAGGATTTTTCCCAATAGTTTTGAAACACCATTTCTTTGTCTTCAAAACACCATGTTTGATGGATTATCCCCATGTTTGCCGGTGAACTCCACATGTTTCACGTTGAAATTCCGATGGTTGAATCTTCAAATCCCCAATCCATCAAGTTAATAAGATATATATATATATGTATATCTATTATTACTATTATTATTATTACTATTATTATTACTATTATTATTATTGTTATTACTATTATTATAAATATATATATATGATTAATTAATTATATATATATATATATATCCCTCTTATTCTCCCATGAACTCACCACATTTTCCCATGCTCAACGCCATGTTATATATCGCACCTGTGGCGCCCCCAGCAGCAGAAACGCGGAGCGCCAGCCCGCGGACGTCACCAGGGAGCCGCCAACTGCTAAGCCTAAGAGGCCTCCCAGGGCTGAACCTGGCGCCGGGGACGTGAGAAGGGGATGACTGGAAGGTATACCCTCTGGTAATTTAACGTGGCTACTGAAATTTTGGCCCATCGAAATAGTTGATTTGCCGGAGAAAAAAAAAGGTGATTTTCCATGGTTATGTTAGTTTACCAGAGGGTACCCTCCGGAAATCAAACATGGTAAGCAGCTGTTATGTTAAAGGTGTGTACCCCATTGTCAGACACGCCCATATATCATATCAATTTCTTTATCTATCCGTATCCAATGACATCCTCCCGTTATTCCCAACTAAGTAATGCCATTATTGCTCTTGATGTATCTTCGTATCCCCATTACATCGATATTCAAATAGCCTTTGGTGACAAATCCCCATCAATACCAGTACATGGTCAATATCCATTCATCATTGGTGAAAAATCCTAAGATTCAAATTGGTGGATGCCCTCCAGTAATCAAATGTAGCACTGGAAAATCCCCCCCAAAAAAAAGTTCGATGAATTTCCGAAACCGCCATTGATAGGGATTTTCCAGCCAGCCATTGATTACCAGATGGTACATCCTCATTTTATGCCATAAAAATGGCTGGTTAAAACCCAATGGTTTCATCGCTTCCCAACCACGGTAATAACCAATCAACCAGCGGTGGTTAAATCCCCAGCACATTCCCATTACCCTCTGGTTGTGTCAAAATAGCTATTGAAAATGGCCATAGAAATAGTTAAATTACCAGAGGGTAAATATCCCCATATCGCTTGAAATTCCCGCGGTGGGTATCTTTTGGTTGGTTCAATCCTCGGAAAAATCCCAGTTGACTTTCCAGTTCGCAAACTGCGAATAACTACCAGAGGGTATGGCCATCAATGTTCCATTAATATTCGAATATACAGTGCGCTGATAAACCATTAATATACCCAGTATGTTCCATTTTTCAACAAGTTAATCACCATTAAAACACCATTCTACCACCGCCTTTCTTGGTTAAGTCCCATCAGAATTATCCCAGCAAATCATCCCATTAAATCCCCATTATACCACCATTTTTTAAGGTTGAATCCCCATTTAGTTCGATACTTTTCCCATTGGAGGGATTTAGTTCCATGCTTGTCCCAGCTATAAATCTCAATTTAGCTATGTTTAGTATTTAGTTCAATGATTTTCCCCATGGAATCCCCACTATGCCAAATTTAAGTCGCAATTTTTCATGGCTAGAAGAAAATGGCCATGTCAAAAAAATGCGTTCAAACCATAACTTCCCCACTAAATCATAGTTTCATGGTGAAACCATGTTGAACATACCATTTTTCCCCATGAAATCCCGAGCGCCTGCATGGTAGAAGCCCATGGCCGTGCTCAGCTCCTCCGTTTCGAAGTGGTCGCAGAGCAGCGCCAGCGCCACCGGGTACCCGGCGCAGTTGGCGACGCCCGCAGCGAGGCGGCAAAGGATGGCCTCAACGCAGGGTAGACTGAAGACCCACTAGGAAAATGTACTCAGATCATGTTATCTTATATATATATATATGTATATATATATATTATTTATATATAATATATAATATATATAATATATAATACATATAATATATAATATATATAATATATAATATATATAATATATAATAGTATATATATATAATGACAATAAAGATTCTAATGATGATAATGATAATCATAATCAGAATCATATTGATAATGATAATGATAATAATGATGATAATAAGAATAGTAGCAATAATGAATAACAAGAATGTATTTAGATAATAGTAGTTGTGATTCATAAGACCTAGACGATATAGATGTATATAGATAACAATAGTAATTTTAGTGATAATGCATAGAGATGCGTACTCTTAGATGGTTGGTAACTATAGGTTGCAAGCCACGAACATATATCCCAATTATAAGCCATTTACTAACAGGAAACTAATCCCCATGGACCATCTAAGTCGGAAAATGGGATGACTATGTAACATGGTAGGTGAGTTTAACATGGTTCAACCATCAAAATTTGGATTTAACTAACTCGGGTATCGTTCACAATTCAGGCGCGCTGGACGCCGTGGCTGCTTTGCATGGCAATTTCACGGCCCTACGGTACCTACGTAACAAAGAGGTCACAGTCTATGATAGTCTATGTTAGCTGCATGGGTATGGGTCAATACCTATAGATACATTTTTAGTGGGATGAACATCCATTTACCAGCTATTTTGGGGTTCACTAGGTACCAGGGTTTTGACCCATCCCCATGTTAGCTGCATGAGAATACTGTAAGGCCTTGAGGGAACATCCTTCCACTGGGATGATCGTGAACACTCCATTGCTCCATCAACATTGGTCAATAATTCATCACCACGTACCATTCATCTCTGGCTTTACCCTATTCTCCTGATATACAGCGGAAATCTCCTGGTTGTTAACACCCCTGTGTCACTTTATAAATCACAGGTTCACTTACATCACGATCTTCGCAGGTTAAATCGCCGTGTTCATGCATCTTCATAGCAAAATGACCGTGTGTTCCATGGTTTTCCATGGTTTTCCCATCACCCAGCCATTTTTCTCGCCTGCCCAAAGTCCTTCGCCAGCCCCGTGAGCAGGGTGGACAGGGCCCACATGGCCACGCCCGCACCCAGCAGCTTGGCGCGCGGCAAAATGTCGGCCAGGCGCCCGATGAAACCCGTCGCAACAGGGACCACCCACAAAGAGGCAGAGGCCAAGAGACCCACCTGGCAGAACCAATAGGGACCCAGGGATACGGGGGATTAACATGGATTAACCCCCAAGGTAGTGACTGTTTGAAAAGGAGAAATGAGGTCCTAAACATGTCTAAAGTCTAAACCATCAAATGCGTTTTTTGTTCCCCTCGATTTTCACACACATCTGTGGCTATGGCAAGTGGTAGAAAAATTAAAAAAAATGTGGTGTATAAAATAACCACAATAGGATATATATATATATGATATAATCGATATAAAAGTGATCTAGTGGGGCTTGCCCTTGCTGGTTGGTTTGGTGTTCACTGGGGATTATGAACTAACCCATAAATCAACGGGATACCTATCAACCAACCAGACAATGGGTTTAAACATGTGACCAACAAAAAATTGTGGTTTAAAACACAACTATAATCAGTATGTATATATATAGATAGTGAGGATGTGATGGTTTAATCAAATCCATCTTCAGCCACTACTTCACTACTTTCATTTATATCTCATGGGTGTCGAAGCCCAATCGAGAGATGTTATAAAGCCCTTGGCCCCTCACGTATCACAGGTAGTTGACCACATTGTGAAGGGATCTACTTCGGTCGCTGTTCAGATCACCAATCGCCGTAAATTTTGTTGTCAGATTGCCTGCAAGTCAGTCATCTTGAAGTCCAGCTTCATCGATTCCTGAGACTGCCACTGGCAGATTGGAAATTCCAAGAGTTCAGCCGCCCATTCAAAACTTCCAGGGGAAAGCGAAAAAATACATCCCTGAAACATCCGCATCAAGCTTCCATGCAAATGGACAAGACGCTGCGGTCCAGCCATTCACACATCACCATCAAGGAACAACAGGTCAACACCCAGTGTTTCTGCCGCAGGCCATCCTTAGATTCGCGAATTTTTTCGGCCCCCCGGTGAAAAACCGTCGCAGTCCTGGCTGAGAAATCCAAGGTCCAAACGTCTAACCAAATATTCAACCACCACAAAATCTGATTTATACATATATATATATAATACAGTATACTGTATGTATATATAATATGTTTAATTATGTGTATACTATATATATATATACATCTTTGAGAACTTCCGAACTTCCAAAAGAATAGGAAAAAGACCAGCAAATCCAGGCCTCCCGGTAAAACAATGGTCTTTCACTTTTTTCACTCGGAATCTCGCCGGGAGCTGGACCACTCGCTGGACTCGCTGCATTCGGACTGCCTCAGGGCTAAGGATTTCATACCACGAAACTGCATTTGGGATATAAACCATGGGGATGTATATTATATATATACATATATCAATTTCAATGTATATGTTTGTATACATCTCTTTGTAAGCAATTTGTTATGAGATTTGCGTGAGTCTGCGAATTCAGGATTTACCCCCAATTTTATGGACATTCTAACAGGGATAACGATCGATGATAAACCATGGGATTGTTTAAATCTTCAGAACAAGCCAAATAGCAAATTCCAGCATGTTAACATCCTATTTTGGGGGTGGATGATTTTGAGCCGTATCCATATGGGTTTAAACATCCAAATATGTTGGGGATTCCTGCAAATGTTCTTTTCAACATCCTTCAAAGAATTCTGGGACATCAACAAAAGGATGTTTCACCAAGAAGTCATGGAAAACCTACCACTCACAAGTTGGCTTAGTCACATACCCATGTTGGTCATATCCTCTAGTTTCGTTCAAGATTGCAACGATCTCCAGCTGACCCTTCCCCACCTGCATCCGGTGGAAAAAGGTCAGCGCCGACCTCATCCTCTCGAAGCTTGGCATACTGCAGCTGAATCTCACGCCAGAGCTTTTGGTCTTTGACCATACCATGGCGATGCCGTGCCGAGAAAACGGCGAGTTGCAAGTTGCCAAAGGTGCGAGTTGAAATGGTGTCAACATGACCAATTTTTGCATTGAAGTGGCCAGAATTTGGGGATCGATATACCCCAGTTCTAGAGAAACCCACTTGTTGGAGCGTGATGATAACCTGATAAGCTTTCACAAGGTGCATCTCCATTGGGGTCCTGAAGATGACATGTCCCATTTGAGGACATCAGAATGATTGGGTGTGGTTGTAGATAGTGTCATTCTTAGCCCGATTCTTGTCCCCAAAAATTCCCCTTGTTCATCATTCTTCCTCTTTGAGGATATGAGGATGAGTCAAAATTCCAGACCACTCGACCCAAGCAACATATGTCGATACATGTTGGCTGTTTGACTCATAGCCACATAAGCAGACAAGCGAGCTTATGCCTGCAGGTTACAGCAAGCATTACGGCAGTTGATGAACAGACCTGGGTATACAACCGACAGCTGAGCAGGGTTTTAATTCCAGACCCACACAGCAACTCTTTGACATTCAAATTTAACCGTCCCATTTTGGGGCAAGTTTGACCCATAGCACCCCATGGATCAAAGTGAAATCTACTCCAAAACAACTCAAAATATCATCAATCATAGGCTTAACATGGCTTAACCAATAACACCTGTATATAATAACTACATTGCTGTTTTGCACCACACCAACCGTGATCCATCATAGTCCGTGCAGGTAGCCAGAAAAAAAGGCTCCTATCCATGGCAGCTGCCAACTCGAGTCGCAAAATCATCATCAGCAACCTGAAATCTTCGGCTCCACCCCAAGGATGGAAAGCTGAAACAACAAGACTTTCGGAGTTGCCCATGGATGGATCAATGCTTCCATGGTTAGATGGAGGCGTCCAGGAAAGTCATGGGGATACGGAAAGTCATCATCCGGAAGTAGACCAGCTCGCCGGGCCATTTGGAAGATAATCTACAACTGCTGGGTAAACTCCACATCGAACTGTTTGTTTACTTGAGGCTAATGACACAACAAACTTATGGGCTCGCTTGACCTCACCAATTGGAAAGTTGTGATACTCTTTGTCCTTCACTGTGGAAAAAGAAATATGGAGAGTTGCCACTCCCAAAGTGGATTTTGCTGGGCCATTTTGGAACGATTGACCATTCACCAACCATCACTGATCGCCCTGGTTGCTACCATTTACCAAGGTTTTCTCCGCAACCACAAAGTCCAAGTACTGAAGCTCTCAACCTACCCTAAAACCAGCCGAGTCATATTAGAATCATAGCTCATCATAGTGCTTAGTGATATCAAACTACATCCCTGCGCTCATTCGTTGATATCCATTGATATCCCATATTTGGTGAACACCAAATACCAGAATTCAGAGTCCACCCGTTTTGGTCGAACCTTGATGTTTGCTGCAGCCCAGTCATGGTCACACCAAATACGCCCCCTGGTTTATTTAACAATTTGCTACGGAACATTGCCTATTTATAGATGACAAATGATGACTTACATTGACTTACCATGTTTAACAATGGTGATTTTCCAAAGCTACGTTCAATAACCAGATGGTATCCTAATCCTCCAAATTTGAGTCATTTTTTTTTGCCCACCTACCCTGTACCAACTAACCCAACTCATGACCCAGGTCATTTTCGTTACGTCCAAATCCCTGTTCTTGATGGTCAATCCCCCTATGGATTGATGATTGATCTATGGGAGAATCGGACACCATTGTTTAAAGGCCCCCAAGTCCCCAAGTATATGGAGCTTTCCGGGTTCAATGTTCCCATCAACCCCAGTTGTTTGTTGCTAAAATCCCCAGCTGCTGTGCTCAGACCATCATTTGTTGAACGTTCGATCACAACTTGGTTAAATCACCGTGTTCATAGTTAATTCACCATGTTTCATGAATTAATTACCTTTTTTCATAGTCAAATCATATTTTTTCATGGTTAAATTACATTTTTTCACAGTTAAATCACCATGTTTCATGGTTAAATTACCATGTTTCATAGTTAAATCACCATTTTTCACGATCGAATTACATGGGTTTCCCCATATGTTGAGGCACCGACCAAGGTTGCCAGGATGCAGCCCTGGCCTCAGAAAACCTACCATGACTGGGGATGCTTGAAATCCAACCCATTGCCAAATGGTGATTTGGGGGGATTATTATCAATGGTGATATACTAATGGGATACCATTCGTATGGGTTTACCAGAACCTAATGTGATTTTGGGCAGAATATATATATATATATATGTGATTGGGTTTACCACCTTAGTTCAATATTAGTGTAATAGCCATAGCTATGTACACAAGCCAGTACGTACTTGTATAAAACTCACTGGATGGTTTTCCATTGCCTCGTTGGACTCCCAGCGAGCCTCCCATGATATAAATCCCTATGTTTGAAAAAAATAATGAAGTTAGAATAGGGAATATATATATATAACTGTATATACGCATACATCCCACAATGTCTCCATACAGTGGTTGGTTTGATCCCATCAAAGTTGGGACTAACATCGCAAAATTACTATGTGTCACGGGATTATCTATCTATAATATATATATATATATCCCCTATATTTTGGTGGTTGTTATACCCGCATGTCCCATATCCGTCCTCATGTGTCATAGTCACCAATTGTTGATTGGAAAAAACAGCTGCGCAGCCTTTCTTGGTCTTTCAGCCTCCAGTTGTGTCCCAAAATCCAGGCCATGTCACCATGAAACCATGACGAGCCGTAGTAAACGCCGTAGACGCCGTAGACCGCTGCCTCGATTTGAAACTGAAAATGTGGACTTCACCAAGAAATACATCTGGTTAATGGTGGTTAATGATGATTGATTATCTGGTTGGTGTTTTTTTCCTAGCCCTCTGAAAAATGATGGAGTGAAAGTCAGTTGGGATGATGAAATTCCCAATTAATATGGATATATATATATGGAAAAATAAAATTCATGTTCCAAAGCACCAAGCAGAATAGGTGGTTTTAACAGTTTGAATATGTTTAAATGATCGAATTGTGGGGATTGAAGCCCCACTACACAGATTGTTGAAGGGAACATCTACAGGAATGGATCTTGCCATCAAATATCGAGGTCAAACCTGTAAGTTGTCCCTCAAACTAGTTCTGGCTCTCAGTAGGTCGAGAAGAAACAGGGCATAAATGGCTTGAATTTTGACTTGGATTTGCACGCTGAATAACTTGCGTCTAGAACCTGTTCCTATGTAGAAGTCGTTGACGAGTTTGGAGCAGTGGCAAAGGATAGTTCCGGGATGGTGCAGAAGAAATCTTCATCCAGGGTGTTCTTTCTACCCCCTATGATGGTATATGTTCCAAGTATTGGTCATGTCCTCATGTCCCAAATCAATGGGTCGATCGAGCGCATGAATGTAATACCCGTGCCAACTGTGCCAACTGTGGCAAACTAAACACCCAAGGTTTGCTAGCTAAACAGTATGAAGCACATTGCAAACACGCATCTTTGTTTAAGAATGCTATATCCTCTGGTAATCAGACGTGCAGATGGAAATTCCACTATTTATAGATGATGTTCCCACTAAAACCTCCATTGATCGGGGATTTCCCATTGCCATGTTTGATTACCGGAGGGTTTCCCGATGTGCATCGGCAGCCTCTGCAGCATCAGCCAACTGACCTGCGGGTGAATCCAAGTGCTGTCACACCGAAACCATCGGTGGAACAATGGGAACAATCACAGAAACCCTATAAAAAAATGCAGCTTGGAAGCGCAAAAGTTGGCAGAGACATATGCAGGTACCCCAAATCATCCAAAATTAGCCCATTCTAGCATTGAAACCTATGGTTTTGGGGGTACCCCATTTTAGGAAACCCCCATGTACAAAAATCAGATGAAGAGACCATCTTCCAAAGTTGCCTCTTGGATGCCAATCTGAGTTTTCAAGACCTGGCCATCCCTATCCATTTCAGCAGCTAACATTAATTTGCCCCAAAAGGGGGAAAAAAAAACAAGACATCCAAACAGACATTCAAATGATTGTCCTTCCCCCCAAGAGCAGTCCACTGAAATGCTGTTCTTGCTTGGAGCAAACACCCGGAGAAAGGTCAAGCAGTCACGCTATTTTTCAACCGTGCCCAGCTATCAAAACGTTCTCAACGGGTCAGCTCAGTAGGTGGCAGCCTGCTTGGACTGTGCGAGGTAGTCAGACCACTCCTGGAAAGGAGACTTCACGTGGTTGGTGGGCTTCCAAAGGTCAGGAGTCAGGTAGCCGTAGGTGGCCTTCAATGCCTCAAAGGTAGCCTTGGCAAAGTTGGCGGTGGTTCTGGTGTGGCCGCAGGAGCAAGTGAAGCAGTCCGAAATGCCAGCGAAGGCCATCATCTTCTTCATCACAGGAGAGCCGACAATGCCGGATCCACGGGGGGCTGGGATCAAGCGAGCTCGAACTGAGCCGCACTTGCCATGCACCTTCATGGGCACAGTGTGGGGCAAGCCGATCCTGTTACCCCAGAAGCCACGGCGGACAGGGATCAGGTTGATCTTGGCCGCAATGATGCCACCACGAATGGCTGTGGCAACCTCCTTGGCACACTTGGAGCCCAGGCCAATGTGGCCGTTGGTGTCACCCACAAGCACGTAGCACACGAAGCGGTTGGTCTGACCAGCAGAAGTCATCTTCTGCACGGGGTGAATCTTCAGGACCTCATCCTTCAAAGAGCCAGGAGGGTAGAAGTGGTCGATGATCTCAGGCTCCTTGATGGGCAAAGAGTGCAGGTAGATGTCTTCCAAGCAGGTGATCTTGCCGTCGTTCACCAATCGGCCAAGCTTGGTCATGGGCGTCCATTGCTTCTCCTCCTGCTTTCCCTTGCCCTTGCCCTTGCCCTTTCCCTTCTTGCCTTTGCCCTTGCCCTTGTCTCCAAATCCACCTTTGCCGAATCCTCCGTCTCCTCCCATGTCTGGCAAGCCTCAGAACACTGAATTCCGTCTCAAGAGCCCCATGGGAAAAACACGCACAGCACACTCAAGATCGACAAATGAAAGCCTCAGCACCATCCATTTTCACAAAAGAATCTGGGGAATTCCACACACACATACCCATCTCACCGGAGATAGATTTGATCGACCCAGCAAGTCAACAAAAAAACCTATGGAAAATTGAACGCCCTGCCATTTCCAGCATCTATGGCACACCATGTTGGTTATAACTCGACTCCAGTGACACTCTGAGGCTCTGACTTGTGCTGGGACCAGGTTTAAAGTCCGACTTGAGCCATGGACACATCGGTAGAAGTATGGGTACCCCAAAAATTTCGAAGGTACACAAATTTGATCAACTCTCCGGGTTTTACATTTTGACCCATGCCGCAGAAAAAATCCTTCAGAACCCGTCTCGAAGCAACCCAAAACAGGAACTGACCGCAGGAACCGTTGACGGGCCGGCGCCTTTGCATGGATAGATTGGGTAAACCTGCGGTGACATGGCCGCCCAAGTAACAACTGGGTTGCTTGTTCGTCCGGGCACTTGAAAATGATGGCCAAAATCGGTGATTGCTATTGACTACTATAGTCATAATATAGGTTTGTCGCAAAATAGGGTATCATGTTTAATGGCCAGCACTTGGGGGTTAATCCGACATTTTCAGACACGATCATAGCAGTGGCTTGTGCTCGATCAACATACCTTCAAAATCCTTTTTTCGGGAATGAAACACCGAAGTTGCAAGGACTTCACAGCTGATTCTACATCGAAGCATCTCAAAAAAATGATCCCAAAAACAATGATCTGAAGTACATCATCAAAATTGTAGGGAAGCTACATGCCACCATAGTTTGTCCCCCATCATAATCATCATAGTTTTGAAAGGGCAGTAGCGATACAACCACCATGGCCATCGTACCCCAACCAGCAACCTTTCTGGGCAGTCTGAGAGGGTACTGTACCCCATTACATCGCATAGTTTTTCAGTGTTCCTGCCACTCAAATAGCCAATCAAATTGGGGTGTATCCCCTTTTTCAGACACACTCAGACATCATATCAAAATATATCAAGTCAAGGTTTTAAAAAAATGTCCCATATGAACTATATTCTATATATTACCAGGGCCTTGGACCCCAACGGTCCCCCTGGCGCCTCGCGGTGCCTCGCGCCCCGAGAAGAACGAGTCGCTGCGAGCCAGAAGAAAGAAAGGTACAGGTGACCGGTGATCACTGTGGAGGAGTTTCCCATGGCTGCCATGGTTTACTTGTTATATGGGATATATATATATATACATATATATATGGGATAACCATGGATAACCCCAGTTGGGGGACTTGCTGAGTGGGCTTATTTCATGTTATTATATACCCAGCTACGAGCAGTAGGATGATCCTCAAACAGTACCTGTGACCAAATTGGTGAAGTCTCCTAGAATCTCCAAGAGGAATGTTTTTTGGGGGAGGATGGCCAAAATCACAACAGCTTGGTGCTTCTGAAGCTCCCAGAGAATTTTAGAGAAATTGCGGATGGTCATCATCCCAAATGAGAGAAAAAGTATGACATAAATTTGAAACCACCCAACCAGCTAAAAGGTTCCCATGGTCTGATGTAACATCCGATGTTCATTGCTTGGCATGAACTTGGGGAGCACAATGTCGACAACTTGGAGTTCCGCATGCTGGGTCCATGTCCATCCCCGAAGCTAGGATCTTTAGTTACTATTCATTTGAAGGATCCCCCAAAGATATCAGATGTTCCCAAACATGGATCCAGCTTACCCGTCGACGCCCCCTCCTTTTCAGCCGTGCCCAGCTATCAAAACGTTCTCAACGGGTCAGCTCAGTAGGTGGCAGCCTGCTTGGACTGTGCGAGGTAGTCAGACCACTCCTGGAAAGGAGACTTCACGTGGTTGGTGGGCTTCCAAAGGTCAGGAGTCAGGTAGCCGTAGGTGGCCTTCAATGCCTCGAAGGTAGCCTTGGCAAAGTTGGCGGTGGTTCTGGTGTGGCCGCAGGAGCAAGTGAAGCAGTCCGAAATGCCAGCAAAGGCCATCATCTTCTTCATCACAGGAGAGCCGACAATGCCGGATCCACGGGGGGCTGGGATCAAGCGAGCTCGCACTGAGCCGCACTTGCCATGCACCTTCATGGGCACAGTGTGGGGCAAGCCGATCCTGTTACCCCAGAAGCCACGGCGGACAGGGATCAGGTTGATCTTGGCCGCGATGATGCCACCACGAATTGCTGTGGCAACCTCCTTGGCACACTTGGAGCCCAGGCCAATGTGGCCGTTGGTGTCACCTACAAGCACGTAGCACACGAAGCGGTTGGTCTGACCAGCAGAAGTCATCTTCTGCACAGGGTGAATCTTGAGGACCTCATCCTTCAAAGAGCCAGGAGGGTAGAAGTGGTCGATGATCTCAGGCTCCTTGATGGGCAAAGAGTGCAGGTAGATGTCTTCCAAGCAGGTGATCTTGCCGTCGTTCACCAATCGGCCAAGCTTGGTCATGGGCGTCCATTGCTTCTCCTCCTGCTTTCCCTTGCCCTTGCCCTTGCCCTTGCCCTTCTTGCCTTTGCCCTTGCCCTTGTCTCCAAATCCACCTTTGCCGAATCCTCCGTCTCCTCCCATGTCTGGCAAGCCTCAGTGGCAAACACAACCAGAATGAAGCCTGAGCTTAGCTTCCTCATCAAATGAACCGTTTGAATCATGCTGTGGACAGCTTGATATAGGGGGTTATACATGGTTATGCTATGTTATATATACTGTTTATACATGCTGTATACTAACTTTTTCATTGGGAACTATCATTACCCACAATCAGGATACCTATGTACCAACCAGTATAATTGGATGAGAATTCAGTATGTTTCATGCCACAAATGGGCTCGTTTGCAGAAACAGTCTGTTGCAGCCGCATCCTAGCCATTTGATGAAAGGAGCCCCAAGTGACATGGTGTCACTGGATGTCACTGGACCACAAGGAATTCTGGGACAAGTTCAAACACTTCATTGAAGATCATCATCATCATCATAACAGGGAGTCAACATAAAACTCCTCGAAACCACCATTTCTACATGAGCATAACATAAGGGGTTGACAATTCCTTCGTTTCCGATTCCCCTGGTCTCTCACTTGGCACCTGGATGATGAGCATTGTGGAAAATGACCTTCGTTTCAACCGGAGAATCGCCCCTTTCATCCCCTTTCCACTTTATTACCTACAGTACTGATTGATTCGATGGTCTCATGTCACAAACCAAGCTATCTTTGCAAGTTGAGCCTATGAATCACCCAAACTTTATCGGTTCATGTTGCCCATTTTCTCTACGACATGTTTTTTTTTGCACCGGATAGATCCCCATGAAACAGGATCAGCTCCAAGTAGCTGTGCTGGTGGCCGAAATGTGTCCGACTTCAGCCAAAACGGGCAGCGGTTCACCATGAAAGCCACCCAAAACGGGACCTGCCCAATGAAATACTGGTTGGATCTGGTTGGCTCATACAACAATAGCAATCCCTAATGGCCCTAATGGGTTAACTACCCCGACGCTTTGATGTCTGTCCCTAAAGTACAGCAAATCTCTAGGGAATGTTGCTGAGTTGCTGGGCGCCTGTTCCACTCAAACACAGAGTCACAAAAGCAAGGCTCTGGATCAGAACCCAAGTATGCTAAAAGCGCAAAGGCATGAAAAAGATCATAGATATTTTACCATGTTCAAAGCCCATGGCTATAGGAAATATTCTACAAATGTCTGAGAATCTCCAGCAACCCCAAGTTCGGGGTCTGACTTCAACTGTTTTCAGCACGTTTTTCCGTCCACTCTCAGTCATCGGAGGGGTAACCTGCACAGAGATCGGAATCGGAGTCCCCGAGAGGCACATTCGAAACCCGTGAGCATTGAATGCGAATCTGGCTTTGTCTGAAAATAGGAATTCCATGGAATTCCGTAAAAATTACTATTTCAAGGGAAAGTGATCCTCAAGTGGCCTCAAAAAATTAAACAAATGACCAGTATATAGATTCCCCCGAACGATAGATCAAGAAATTGGAGGATGAAACATAATCTTCAATCTAAGCGAGCTGGATTCAAACCTCTGTCTATGGGGGTTCCTAAAAAGGGTGCACCTTAAAAGCATTGCTTTCACTATTTGAAATGACCAATTTCGGATGATGTTGGGGATCCCTCATTTTTGGAAACCCAAAGAAGTTGTTCGAAAAAACTAGGTATGCCGTATACCCCCAAAATTGCTGTGTGACAATAAACCATTGGATTGTAGAGGTGCACTATTTTCAGACAAACCCATACACTCGAGGGTTAATAGGTAGTTCCAGTTTGGGTTACTGTATTTCCCATTACAATAAAAATCCCATGAAGTCCCCTAGTGATTATGGTTGGTTTTCTACCCCCATCATTCTATCCCCAACCTGAAACCACCATTTCTGTTCGAAAATCTCACAATCCATAAACATAGAACATAAATCCCATTCGTATCTATACCTGAAACAAATATAAAGATCTCATGAAATCCGCCATCAAGTTAAGTACTTATTTCAGTTGTATCCCATTTATATCCCATTTCTCTTCAAAAATCCACCATACATGTCATATCAAGTTGGTTGATTAGGGAATATCCCATTAATATCCACATTCATATTCCTATTATATACATCCTATCATATCCTATTTATATTGTTGGTTATATCCCCTTCATATTCCATTAGTATCGCATTGTATAGTATCCATTAGTATCCCATCAAAATCCCAAGTCTTAATGATTTTCCATAGTTTTCCATAGTTTTCCATAGTTTTCCATAGTTTTCCATAGTTTTCCATAGTTTTCCCATCCAAATCCCATGACGCCTACCGCGCGGCGCGCGGCAGGCCCCGCTGGCGGCGCCGCCTCGGCGGCCGCCTGCAGCCGCGCCACGGCCGAGGCGAAGGCCTCGCGACAAACGCATCGGCGGCACGAAGAAAATGGCTGGGATGATGATGGATAATGATAATAATAATAATGATGATATCTGGTGAATTCTATGGTTTGTGGTTTAGGATAATAATATTCTATGATATTTATCAATGATAATGATAATGATGGTGAATATTATAATGAATCTAACCATAATGATAATGATAATGATGGTGAACATTTATGGTTTAATGATAATGATAACCATAATGATGATATCTGGTGAATTCTATGATATTCATCAATGATGATATGGGATTATAGATTTGAATATACCATCTATGATATTGCGGTACGCCCATTTATGGAACTCCGCATATGGCTATGGATCAATACCTATTAATACCATTTTTAGAGGGATGAACATCCATAAATCCCAGCTATTTTGATGTGAACTACAGGGGTACTATTGGTTTTGACACACTGCCATATCTGGTGAATTCCATGGTTTATGGTTTAGGATGATGATAATGGTATAACCATGATCATTATCATTAATCATGGTGTATGGTTTAGGATGATGATATCTATGATGATGATATTCTATGATATTCTATAATGGTAGTTTGATTTTCTGTGGGATAGTGATAGGATTTTTATTCGGGATAATGATGGGATAATGATAATGATATGAAACCAGGTGTGGATCATAATGAGATAATGATGGGATGATGCTGACAATGGGATAATAATGGTATATAATATTATGTTTTTTGTTTTTAAATAGTGCCGCTAAACATAAGATATGGGATAACAATAGCATGATGATAGGATATAAATTACAATTTATTGTCATGTACATATTGGCTTTATTCGTTCTATATGGTTTAACAAAATGGTTGGCAAATTATATTAGTAAGTTGATGGGGATATGTATATCTAAATAATGGTGGTTTATCATGTTTCCCCCTAAAAAACACATAAATCGGGGTATTGCCATCAATTGTCCTCCGGTGTCATCAAACTTGGCTGGGAAATCCGCTACTGTATGGAGGTTTCGTTCGCTGGGAAAAGCGTCTGCAAATTGGGGATATGTATCATGGTTGGGAAATAAATTGTTGATAAATAGTTGATTTAACCATCAGAAATGGTGGTATCACGGGGATTTCATGGTGACTTAATCTGAGTTTGGCGATGAAACAGTGATGTTCCCATCGAATGAAATGCTTTTCTGCTGGGAATTGAAATATTGTTCAAGGCAAAAAAAACATGTTTCGGGGAGAACACACTGATATTTCTCCAATGACAAGTCTGCACTGTTCATGGGAAAAAAAAATGTTTTTCTGATGAACGGTTTGGATTTTGCCTGATGAAAAGGTTGGATTCTTCCGATGAAAAGATGGGAAACTATCATGAACATATGCAAAGTGTGTGTGTGTGTTTCAGATCATAAGTTAGGAATTGTCTTTTGAAACACAGGGAAGTTTACTGATATTCTCAATTGTTTATACCATAATCCCCCCCCAGTTTTTGCTGGCTTATAGCACGTCACTACTACCATCCCCTCGTATTAAACAGCACCCTTTTTTTTGGTCGTTTCTTTGGCGGTGCCCCCTCCGGCCCCCCGGGTTGTAAGTTGGTTTATAACCCCCGTTAACTAGTTCGATATATGTATCATAAACCCTAGTTAAGCTATTGGAGTTACAAGCCAGCTTAGCTAACTATGTGGCACCTCCTTCTACCTTATCCCTATTATCCCGTGAGTCTCCCATGTCATCCCTATAAAATACATAAAAACACCATATATCATCATCATTTGTTGATGGTGAAATCCCATTATAAATTACCATAAACCATACAAATCCGTAATATATCGTCATTATTCCATGGTTTAGAAAATGGAATCTTATCATATAATCCACATATATATATATATATACACACAATCCCATCAATCCCCATGATTACCTTAACCATTTTCTACCATAATGGTGACTTATATCCGATCATTTGTCTTTGTCCATGATTGTCCAAGAAAAAAAACAAAACATTGTTGTAATCCATAGAATAAATCACGAATACCATTAAAATCCCCGTTCTATATCATTATCCCGTAAATTATGATTATTCTATTAACCAACATACCATTAATATGTATTATCCCAATTTATATAACCCACATTTAAAAAAAAAAAAAAAACATTCAAATCATCAGTTGCGCTGGTTTCATCATTCAAATCCCGTGGATTTTTTCAAATTGGTGATATGCTTAGCATGTCATCGATGCACATGTAACAAATTGTAACAATCACCATCTCATTACATTTTCCAAATCGTTTTTGATATATATCATAATAAAAATAATAATAATTAATATATATATATATATCATATAATCTTATCATATAATCCATATAATATATATATATACATATCATACCATCATCAATCCCCATTTGTTGATGGTTCAATCACCGCAGCCCTTCCCACGCTCCTGCAGCCGGTCCAGCGAGGCCAACAGCGCATCGGAGACTTCTTCCAAGTCGTCGCCCAAGGTGAAGCCGACCCTGGCGCGAGCCCTGAGGGAGTAGAATATCTGTGTATCTATCTATCTATATCTGTATATATATATACATAATATAGATATGTATATATATATACATATATGTGTATATTTATATACATATGTGTATGTATATATATATACTGATTCATTTAGAGTTTTAAATATAATACAATATGTGTTATCATACAATAATAATAGATATAATAACTGATGTTTATTTAAAATACTGAATATAGAAATATATATAAGGTATGAAATATATGTGTATATATATAGTAATATCTGTATATATATATTAATATATATATATACATTTATACATATGTACGCACATAATAGTTGTAATAGATTATAATACTTTACATCCAGAATTGTACAACGAATATCTTTCAGGAAGGCGAAAATGGAGAATTTGACCAAGGCCTCCAAAGAAATGGTGAGAATCACCAGTAGAACACACTGTTATGCACTGTTGGTACCATGCATTGCCTGGTAATTTAAGATGGCGATGGAAAATCACCACTTTTTATAGGAGAATCGTCGAGCTGAGCCATCCCATAGCAACGTGACCGGAGCGCACCTCTCCAGGAGGTCAGCATATTTCTCGCAGTTTTCACTTAGCACGCGAGTGCACTGCTGCAGTACCTGCGACAAGACATGGCAAAACACTGGTTGTATGGATTGAGATCTGGCAGTCGTCATTTCACCCTGGTAGCCTTGCGAACGTCCCAAAATGTTGCCATAGATGACATCTTGGGATCGTCAACACACGTCCCATTTTTGGCGCGTGCAAAGTGAATCACCTCCGCCTAATGTTGGCTCTTGTGGGATCCCCAAGAACACCAACACTTGGGTGACCCACCCACTTGGGGCGTGTACGAGATACATCTTCCAACTTGTGAGTCCCCGTGTTGCGTGACTTTGCAGGTTCTATTTCCTGTTTTAACTTTGCGCTTGGTTGGTTTTGATGGTCATCCCCATGAATATTCAATATTTAGAGATATTTGGTGGCTAAACCTACCCTTTCCTCCCATTGTTAATGTCCTGAATCCCAAGATTTTTTGTTCATTCCAGTATGTTGTCATTTTATGTCATTTATATGTTGATATATTTGGTGGGTTACCCTTGGCTAATATCCATTTGGTTTTGCCATTCGGATGATAATTTGGTGTCCCAACATCTTAAGAATTTCCCATGTGTGGTATTTAAATGGATTTAATGGCATTCCCATATTTTTATGGGCCTTAAATGGGACAATAATGGGATGATAAGTAGTCTGTGTTTTGCATCATCATTTTTATGTTTAAGTTTAAATCCCAATACAAATCTCCATGTCAATCCCATTCAACCACCATTTGTAGCTAGCAAGTTCCTCTGATACTCCAAATCGGCGTGGGTCATCCCCATGAACTTCCCAAAAAAAAATCGCCATCTCTCACCGTAAATTCAAATGTGAAGCGTGGTTCGAATTATCCCATCAAGTTGTCTCCCAATTTTCGATCCCATTTGGTTCACCCAAGTTTCCAAAAATCCCAAGTTTCCTTCGTTTCCTTAGTAGGAAAATCACCATTTTTATTTGGAAAATCACCATTTTTACTTCCAAAAAAAAATCCCCAGTTTCCCTGGTGAATCCCATGAAAATCACCCAAGTCTCGCACCATAACTTCCACCGCCGCCGAGGCCAGAGCTTCTGGAGATCCCCGGGCCTGAGCCGCCTGGGATCCATCGCCAAAATCGCCGAAAATCCCATGGGTTTAATGACCAGCTAAGAATGGCCATCGTAAATGGGAATATACTATTAATATATGGTTATGATATGGTTATGATATGGTTATTATATGGTTAATGATGGTTAATAATAATCTAATTGGTGGTATAGCTTACCTACCCCTCTGAAAAATATGAGTTAGTGAAAGTCAGTTGGGATGATGACATTCCCAATTAATATGGAAAAATACTCCAAATATTCCAAACCACCAAGCAGTAATATATTACGGTGGCCTGCGCTCCGTTGAGCCGATCTCCGAGCCTTTGCACTCCTCGGAGGAAATCTATGGGGAATGATGATCTACCACTATTAACTTACTGGTGCTTAGTAGGGAATGGACGGGGGAATGGGATGATTATTACTAGTGATTGTGGATCATTCCAGAAAATTCCCTACTAAGCACCAGTAAGATTAAGTATCATTATCATCATATAGTTATCTGGGGAATTCTATATTTATAGGAAATGAGGATCTACCACTGATGATAATGATAGAAATTCTATGGAGTTCTGATGCTTCTCTATCGTCTACGTAAATTCTCTTGTGGATGGTGAGTGGATGAAGTGATGTTCATGTATCATTATCATCTATATCTATCTGGGGAAACTGCTGATGTACTAATGAACAACGTGAATAGTTTCAATGGTCTAATATGACTGATAGTTTATCTTGATGACGAGCAATCAATAATTGAAATCTAGTGAGAATTGCGCGAGAATTGCACAATTCAAAATTAATTAATTCGCCCAAATCAATGAATAATTTGCTCAAATAAATGGATACATTCTAGTGATTCAGGCTTGAATATATCTTCATCATCTGATTCTCTTTAAGAACCTTTGGGCAAATTAGAATCATCCCATCCCCTTCATATTCTATATCTTTGGGGCGATGGGATCCTTTGCCAAATCAGAAAATCCAGCATGAAATCCCCATGAAATCATGTCATTCCGGGGGTCCGTGTCAGACTTCAACCCCAAAAATCTCTCGAAAGACAAAATCTGCAGGAACTCCCCGGCAAAATGGATGGCATGATATACATGAAATGAATTGGTTGCTCTGAATTTTCCTTTACGTCAAAGAAGTGATTCAAAAAAGGAACAGATAGAAAATCATAGAGTGTATGACCACAATGTGAATCACTTACCTCGTGGCTGGTCCCCAACCATGGAAGAAGTGTCATACCCGAAGCTTAGTCCCAGCCAATGGGTCTATCAAGCAGTAGTTGAACATGCAAATGCTATTCATGGCCTTTCAGGTTACTGGGTTTGCCTGCGGACTGCTTCATCTGAAATCTGCCTTGATGAAATATGTCTTTGCTGGGTCGGTTTGTGGGAGGGTATGCTTCCATGATTTGAGGTCCTCTAGATCCTTTTGTTGGGCCAATTGGTTCAATCCCAGGTTTTACTAATGGAATCCCTATGTTTGCTGCTTAACTTTCATGTTTTGGGGTAAGTCGAACCCCAATTCTTGCTGGTTTAACCAACAATAAGAAACCATGTTTGCTCAAAGCGCAAGTTTTGCTGGCTAAACCCCAATGTAGGTTAAAGCCCATGTCTTTCTCCTGGTTTAAAAAAGATCATCTCTCCTAGTAAGAAAAAACGAAAAAAAACTCCGCTGCCAAGACCCACATATTTCCTATATCTCCTGCTTCAACCCCCATGAAAATCCAATGAAATCACCACAAAGTCCCATGAAATCACCACAAAGTCCCATGAAATCACCACAAAGTTTCATTAAATCACCATTAAAATCCCATGAAATCACCACAAAGTTTCATTAAATCACCATTAAAATCCCATGAAATCACCACAAAGTCTCATTAAATCACCATTAAAATCCATGAATTCCCATGAAAATCGGTGAATTCCCATTAAAATCCATAAATTCCCATTGAAATCCCACAAAATCCCTAGGTTTTGCGGCCAATCTTAGCTGCCCGGCTGGCGCGCACCGAGCTTGGCGCCTCTCCCAGGTAGCGCTGGTACACCGCCTCGAACTCATGGTGATTTCATGGGGATTTATTGGGACTTGAATTTCTATGGAATATCATAGAAATCCCATAGAAATGCCATAGAAATCCCATAGAAATCCCATATTTTTGGGGGATTTATCATAGAAATCCCATAGAAATGCCATTAAAAAAAAACATTGGACCGACAGAAAAAGTAAGAATGGGTATGGCTATGGACAGTACACTGCATTGGATGTACGGCCAAAAAGAGTTGTGAAAAGCGCAGCATAAGGTCTAACTAATGCCATTAAAAGAAACACACAGAATGGTGATGTCATAGCATTTTCATGGTGATGTTCTGGGCTTTATCTAATGGGATTTACATAATCATGATTTAAGGGTGATGGCAAAATGGTGATTTCACGGGGATTCCAAACATGTGGTATTTCTGATTCATAGTGGACTCCAGGGTATTCTGAGGGATCAGTGACTGGACTCGCCCAAAGGTATTTCAAGGAAACTTGATTTTAAACATCAGAATGAAATAGGAATCACTGATTGTCGATGGCCAACTAATAACAGTAATTGCAGTAACAATCATCATCACCACCAGCAACAGCAACAGCAAAAGCAACAGCAACATCATCATCATCATCATCATCATCATCACCATCATCTTTATTATCGATGTTCATCGATGTTCATCGTTATTACAGATGTGTTCACGGCTATGGCTACTTGCCGATTGCAACCAAACATCAGTTCATACATGTTTTTTGGTGTGTGTACCACTACTAACCGATATATAACCCCACTTCTGGTGCTTAAAACGCATAATAATCATTGAGCCCTTCTCCCAAGATACGGATGGTCTGAAGCAAAAGTGCCTTTCCAAAACAATAATAAACAATCCAATCAGAACCCCCTTGTTTCGGGCATGGCTTCTCAGATCGAGCAAATGGTGGACTTGGGTGTTCGTGATTATCCTATCATTGGAATATGTTTGGCAATAGGATTATATCATACTTGGAATGTAATCTTCCTATTGCCAATCCTGATAATCATTCTTCACTATAACTGCCTGTCAGTTGTTCCCTAGTTAAACCATTGATTCTAATCACAGTCCAAAAAACTATTCATAGTTGGTCATATCAGTGTTGATTATGTTGGATCATATATGCATTCTATGGATGATGAATACTATAAATGGAGGATGTTGTAAAAGGATTGTTAACTCCATCGAAGGGATTATAACTTAGTTTCACTGTTGTTAAGATTAAAGACGCCATTATTATTTGTTAGTAGTCCATTATTATTTGTTAGTAGTTCTATCATAGTTTTTCTGTGTGCTAGGATTACACAATAGTAATATCATAGTTGTACCACAGTACCATAGCTATATAACTCAAATGAATGCTTGCTTCCAAGTTAAACAAGTGATTGTAATCAAATCCAACAATTATTCATAATCATACTATTGTTCATACTCAACTTCTTCACTTGTATCATAGATATACTGTTGTCATTCCATTGTTATCTCAAATAGTAACCATCGCAACCACTATTATGCCATCACTGTACCAATAGTCTACCATCATTACACCACTATTACACCATATTGCACCATTATGACATCATTGTTACATCATTATACCATTATTGCATTATTACACCATGATACCATAATTACAAATATCGTACCACTATCATAGTTAGACCATAGCTATTATACCGTTATTATACCATGATTATACCACTATACCACTGACTAATACCGATGGTGAAAGAAAAAAGTGTCATGGTTTCATTGTCATTTATTTCATTAATGGTAACATACCATGAGACATACATTTCATACCATGATAAATAGATGGAGGTTTCTCATTTCATGGGGGTATCCCATTTATCATCCTATTTTAGATGGGGATGTTCCATTATAAACCAACCAACTATTGGGATACATGGCTTAGGAAACCCCCAGATATAAAAAACGGCCTGCACCAGACTTCTGCTGCACTGCTGCTGCGTCAGGCAAACTCGACCTTTCGACAAAATTGGCAGTCGCTTGGGACGGACAAATCAAACATGGCTAGCTGGGAAAGCCATGTTTGATAGTAATAGTGCTTCGTAATGGTGATTCATGATGATTATACATGCTTAGTGATGATTAATAGTGATTGATAATTTTAAGTGATTATCTATAACCATGATTAATCACCCCTATAGCCATGATTATTAGTGATGATTAATAGTGATTAATGATGATTAATAGTGATGATTAATAGTGATTAATGGTGATTAATGATGATTTTCATGCAACCTCAGGCTTTAGTAGGGGTGATTAATACATGGTATCAACTGTCCGCCTCCGGTGACTCATCATGGCTGGGAAGTCCCCGAACCATGGACAAAAACAGCAAGCCATGTTTGACAAATGCGGAGGTTGATAAATGTGTTGGGATATAGTTGGAAAAGATTCTTGGTATATACCGAGTGTTGGTACATATTTGGTAATTATATGCTTTGCGGTAGTAGCAAAAAAGTCTGTAGATGTGTTAATTTATGGCTTGCAAAATAGTTGGTAAAAGTATGGTTGGTATTGTTCATCTGACATCCATTGAAATGCTGCGAAAGAGTTTGTCGGAAATGCCGGAGAATTGTCCCATTCAAACAACACCCAGCTGTAAGGGACATCCATCTCCAACAACCCAAGGTGCTGCCATGATTCCCGGAAATTTTTACAATGGTCTGCAGTCCTGGCTTTTGACATGCTGTAAACCCCACGTGCAACTGGAATATGCAATATGCATATATACATGAATGTATAGATACATATATATATATATACATATATATATATTGTGTTTTTCCTGACATCCGTCTCCAAACGTGCATGCTTTAACGCCTTTGGCCGTGCTGCTGCATTTCCATATAGGCTCAGGAAGACTCAGGGGGTCACGGTGTGTGCAAAAGGGTGCGGATCGCCCGCGGATGGTGGTTGGCCAGGGTTGCCACTAAATCGAGAAGTGTAACAAGTTTACCATTGGACAGGGACTCCAATTTCATCTACCTTGTGGTCAAGGCCTTTCAGATCAGGTGGTCTGGTGGAATAGTTTTGGGATAGGCCCGTTACCAGTTCAACACTGGTAGCGGAGCCAGAGGGCTCACCGCTGCCAGCCTGGTTGCTAGCTGCGAAAGTGAGTGGGTCCAGGGAACATGGAATCTTCAAGTGGCGGTGGATCGACTGCGACGGGAGGTTCCTCAGGGAATTCATTTCTCCCATGGCATTTGATACCATCATTTAAGCCTGGAGAGACCGAGATCAATGAGTACACGAGACGACTGGAGTTTCTCGCCAATATTTGGCCTCCGGAACATTTGCCTCAGCTCGCACCTCGAGCTTGCATGTTGTGTGAAGGCACCGCCTTTGCAAAGGTAGTGCGTCTGGATCCGGAGAAGCTTCGAGTCAGTACCACGGACGGAGTGAAACTGGTCGTTAAGACCCTTGGGGGAGTCTGGGGGCAATCTCGACTGGAAAAGAAATATGAAAGGTTTGAACGTGCCATTTTTGGAACAGTTCAAAAATCAGATGAAACTCATGCCAGTTATTTGGCCCGGCATGAAGTGCAATACGAAGATTTGATTAGCATGGGTGCCACCTTGGAGGAGATGCGTGCCTACATCTTACTTCGCAATTCAGGTTTGTCTGCTGATGATAAGAAAAAGGTCATCATGGATGCCAATGGCGAACTTGAATACACCAAAGTGACGGCAGCACTGCAACTGTTGGGTTCCAAATTTTTTGGAGAGGTTCAACAGGGTTCCAGCAAAAACCAGACTCGCACCAAGACCTATGATGCCAACATGATAGATGAACAGGAACATGATGTTGACGATGGAGAGGAAAATGTCTTCCTGGCCTCTGAGGTTTCTGAGGAGACGGCCGTCGACATCATGATGGCCGAGGGGGACGAAGATGCTTTGGTTGTCCAGCAATTTGAAGATGCGATTCTGGAATCTCTGCAATCTGACCCTGAAATAGCTTCCTGTTTGAATGCCTATGTGGATGCGAGAAAGCGCCTCCTTGACAAAGCCAAAGGACGTGGATTTTGGGGTCCTTCCAAGACCAACAAAGGAAAAGGTAAGGGAAAATTCAAGGGTGGTTTCAGATCCCAATTCAGAAAGCCTTTAGCCCAAAGAATTTTAGAGAGCTCATGCAAGATATGCCATCAAAAGGGACATTGGAAGGCCGAGTGTCCTCAAAGGTTCAAGGTAGGGTCCAATGCTGCTGCACCAGCTACCGGTGCCCCAACTGCCTTTGCCGGAGTGTCCCTTGCCACTGATGGAGATCCAATTGAGCCTGACGGAGACTTAGTGTCTGAACTGCCTGAGAATGCCGTGGCTTTCACCGTTGAAGAGGTTCGAAACAGAAGTTCACCCCTTTTGAATAGACCCGGTATTTGTTTCCCTCCTGTCAAAATCCGTAACAGCTGGAACCAAGACCAAGTGCAATCCCAAATCATGAAGATCCGACCTGACCTTGTGACCCGACTGCGTGCCATTGTCAGGCCGAACAAGATGATTCAACCACAACGTGGCAGCACATCACCGCGACCTGACCCCCTGGGTCCCAAGACAGATGAGGACTTTCCTGAGAGTTCATTTTTTGTCTCACATGGGTCGACAGGGATAGTTGATTTGGGAGCCAGCATGTCAGTTATAGGCCAGCGTCAATTTTCGGAACTGTGTCAGTCTCTCCCTGCTGAGATCCGAGGGCTGCTCAAAGAAGCCCCTTGCAATGTGAGCTTTAGATTTGGCAACAATAGCATGGTCACTGGAAAGAAAGCCGTATTCTTTCCCATCGGTCCATTTTGGATGAAAGTGATTGTAGTCCCCTCCAACACGCCATTTCTCATAGCCAACAGTGTTTTCAGATCTTTAGGTGCAGTCATTGACACAGAAAGCAGTCAGATTTTTTTCAAGAAGCTGGGCCGATCAATTCCAATTGTGCTCAATGAGCGTAAGCTGTATCGGCTTGACATGATGGATCTTTTGACTGCTCCGATAAGTGGCACAAAAGGGTTTTGCCAAACTCAGGCCACCATGTCGGAAGACACCAAGGCAACAGCTTTTCAGACAGTAGAGAATGCCAGCCCGAATCAAGAGAACAATAATAATGCTGATGCAAAGCCTCGCACCGTCAGGTTTGCCGATGAGACCGCCGAATCATTTTCCAAAGCCGAGCAATCCCGGCCCAAGGATCAGAACACTCAGTTTCAGATCGCTCAGCACGAACCAGTTGGTTTTGAAAGTCATGTCGACCGGCGGACAGTTCGATCAGCTGGCAGATCGCCTTCGCCGTCTTCAACTGGACAATCAAGCCAGCTCGGAGGCCGTCGAGCAAGTGATGGAAATGAGCTTGGAAGAACTCCGAGAGTGTCGGATCGAGTTTGGAAAAGCCCACATGAACAAACCCTTCAAGGAGATGGTGAAAGAAGATCGTTACCTGACATGGTTCGCAGAGACTTACCGCCACAGCCAGAAGATCTGCCACATGAAGTTCCTCCGCTTCATCGAGCTGCACTTGGACGATGTGGAAAGTCAGAAGAACCAAACTCGACCCAAGTCTCAAGCCAAAGCCAAGGCCAAGCCAAAGGCCTCCAATCATGCCGCACCTCATGCCCGGGATCACCCCGAGTTGCCTCCCGACCCATGGCACCCCAGCTCCGACGAGGAGATCGGGAGTGCGTCGTGGGAGCCAGTGGCCCATGCCGAAGAGATCAACCACATGAACGAGCGCATGACCGAGATGGAGTCCGTGCTGCAGCAGATCCTGAGCCATCTGAATCCACATGCACAGCCTCACTCCATGGCCTGATGACAAAACATCAGGTAGCCGATCTCTGTGGTGTATGGCAAACATTGGCTGAGCCATCGCAAGTGTTTGACCCAATGTCCGAAGTAGGAGTTAGGGAAAGCATTCTACTCACTAGGGAAGACAATTGGGTGGCCCGAGAAATGTGGAATTTCTTTTCTCAAAAGGGAGTGTTTAAGGATCCTCAAAGATATGCCAAGAACCTATCCGATGTCATGGAAATCTATTGCAGCTCCGATAGTGAATTGACCAAACAGGCCCAACAGCTAGGCTTGCATGCAGAGAGATTTTGTTTGCAAGATGGAGATCTGGCCACCATGGAGGGCCGACAACGGCTGTACGAGCGACTGCTGAGGAGTTTGCCTCGGAACATTTGGCTATCCCCGAAATGTAGAGCGTGGTGTCGATGGAACATTTTTAACATGTCCAAAAGTCCTGAAACTGCTCAACGCATTTTTCAAGCCCGTGAAGATGACCGCGTACACCTGCTCTTGTGTGATGCTGTGTTCCAATTCCAGATGTGGCGAAGCCCACAATGTCATGTTCACTTGGAACAACCGCAGGGATCCCAAATGATTTACCAAGAGGAAATGTCAGCCATTGTCAACCATGGCTGGATTGCAGTTTGCGACATGTGCCGTGCGGGTCAGCTGAAGCACCCGATTTCCGGCAAACTGTTAAAAAAGGGCACCCAGATCATCACGACCTCCCAGATCATGAAACAGGTCATTGGAACTTTGAGATGTTCTCGTGACCATGAACATGACTCAGTTGAGGGTTCATTTCATCATCCGGATTTTGGCCGTGTGAATGTGTCCCAATACACGGAACTCTATACAAGAGTTTTTGCCAGGAAAGTCGCCCGCTGTCTGCAATGTATTGGTCAAATTCGAGAGAGGCATGCAACCGACCAAGAAGATGCTCTCACAAGCCATGAACCTGACTCTTTTGAAACACCTGAACCAAAACGCCAAAAGATTTTGGGAAAACAGAATCCTCCATTGTTTTATCAGCGCCAGGAGTACGAGCAAAAACGAAACAACCTTTTGCAGTTGACACTGGAGCAAGCTCCCAAAGTAGGAAAGTGTGTTTTTCGTGAGGGCCCCATTTTGGAACAAGCCCAAAGCCTGTTTCCTGATATTCAAGTGAAGGCTATAGAAGCCTGCA